GGCATATGTACAAGGGTGTACCGTTTTTTCGGCATAGTAATGAGAAGCTTTAGAGTGAACCAGTGCATGGATGAATCTCTGTCCTTCTTCTGTAACTCTTTCAAATAAAAACAAAATAAATCTTTTAAGCAAAACATCCTTTTCACCGTGCTGAATACCTACTGTATAACTAGTGCACTAAAGTGGATCAAAAAGGCTCTTTTGTGAAGGGTTTCCAATAGTTTTAGAAATGAGACTAAATAATACACGTGACATTATGAACATAAACTAGGCCTATGTCGCATACATTTGAAACACTACAAAAGGGGACAGTTCTGAGCATGGAAAGGTACAATGAGGACCATACCCTCTCTTTTAAAGTTTTATTTATTTATTTGAAAGGCAGAGTGACAGAGATCTTCCATCCGCTAGTTCACTCCCCAGCGGGCAGAGCTGAGCTGATCTGAAGCCAGGAGCCAGAGTTTCTTCCACGTCTCCCACTTGGGTACAGGGGCCCAAGGACCAGAGCTCTCTGCTGCTCTCCCAGGCCGTTAGCACGGAGCTGGATGGGAAGTGGAGCAGCCAGGACTAGAACTGGCACCTCATTTTAGTAAGTACCCTCACCAGGTATGTCCTCAATCCCAACTAGAAGATTAAGAGTCAGTCCTAATTCCTTGACCCGGTCTGTATCTTATTGGCCACGCACTTCTGAAGTATATCTGAGAAACAGGGCTTCTTTTCATTGTGCTTTAAAAAAAAATTCTTCTTATTTGAAACGCAGATGTATAGAGAATAGGAGACAGAGAGTGAGATCTGCCACCTGCAGGTTCGCTCCTCAAATAACTGTAGCAGGTTGGTGCTGGGCCAGTCCGAAGCCAGGAACCTGGAGCTTCTTCCAGAGTGCTGGAGCCAAGCACTTGGGCCGTCTGCTGCTGCTTGCCCAGGTGCATTAGCATAGAGCTGGATTGGAAGTGGAGCAGCTGGGACTCAAACCAGCATCCATATGGGATGGCAGCTCATAAGACAGAGGCTTAGCCTACTAAGCCATAGCACCAGCCCCAAAGATTCTTTTTTTTTTTTAATTAATTTTGAATTTTATGGGTTAATTCCATAGGATCTGGGATTTCCACCCCTCCCAAATTCCCACCCTCCTGAATGACTTTCCCCATATTATTATTATTTTTTAAAGATTTATTTTATTTTTATTGGAAAGGCAGATATACAGAGAGACAGAGAGGAAGATCTTCCGTCAGATGATTCACTCCCCAAGTGACCACAATGGCCGATGCTATGCCGATCTGAAGCCAGGAGCTAGGAACTTCCTCCGGATCTCCCACGCGGGTGCAGGATCCCAAAGCTTTCCAGGAGCCTCTTCCAGGCCTCCCACGGTGCAGGGTCCCAAAGCGTTGGGCCGTCCTCGACTGCTTTCCCGGGCCACCGGCAGGGAGCTGGATGGGAAGTGGGGCTGCCGGGATTAGAACCGGCAGTCATATGGGATCCCACTGCATGCAAGGTGAGAATTTTAGCCACTATGCTAATGTGCTGGGCCCCATTTCACAATTTCCATTCTCTAGTTTTTAGAGAATTATATCTATAGTTTAGAGAATCTAAAACTAGTAGCTTGATTAATTAGATGTCTCCTTTCTCCTCTTCAGCCCAGTTGATGAATTTACTTGGCAGTTTTGCTTCAGGTGCCAGGAACTGGAACCAGGGCTCTCAAACGCATGGCAGGAGCCCCAATGGCTTGACCGTCACTGGCAGGAGCTGGGCCTGGGCGGCGTAGCCAGGTACTCGGCCGTAGGTGTGGGCATCCTGACTGCTGGGCCAAACACCTGCCTCTGCTACTCTTTGTTTCTTAGTCTATCTGCGTCTTTGCTCAGTGCGCACTGCTGAAAGCAAAATCTGCCTTTCATGGTGGAACTCTCGGCCTGACAGAGGCGTTTGTGGAACTCCTCAAAGCTTACTGGTGCAGCGCGCCGCCTTTCACATCTCCCCAAACTGGTACTTCTGTTTAAAAATAGCCTTTTTGGAGGACCCGGCACGATGTTGCAGTGGTTAAGGTCCGCGCCTTGCACGCCCGGGATCCCATATGGGCGCCGGTTCTAATCCCGGCAGCCCTGCTTCCCATCCACCTCCCTGCTTGTGGCCCGGGAAAGCAGTCGAGGACAGCCCAAACCTTTGGGACCCTGCAGCTGCGTTGGAGACCCGGAAGAGGCTCCTGGCTCCTGGCTTCGGATTGGCAAGTGAGCCGTTGCGCTCACTTGGGGAGTGAATCATCGGACGGAAGATCTTCCTCTCTGTCTCTCCTCTCTGTATATCCACCTTTCTAATAAAAATAAAATAAATCTTAAAAAAAAAAATAGCCTTTTTACTTTCTAGGGTAGGTGGGACAGGGCGTTTCAGGCATGATTTATGCCACCTGAAGTAGTTTCCAATGCTATTGTCTGTTCTTTAGAGAATGTTCCTTGGGGGTGTTGTGAAGGATGAGCTAAAGTGGTGGAACAGTTATCTGGATAGTACGGTTTTTGATTAGGTTCTTCGTTTCATAAACACTGAGACTTAAAATCATGCATCTTAAAAAATACCTGCTCTGTACTGAGGCATCAAATTTAAAATTTTTTCTTTAGTGTCAGGCACCATGGCACAACAGGCTAATTCTCCACCCCACAGTGCCAGCATTCCATATGGGTGCTGGTGTGTATTCTGGCTGCTCCCAAAGCCTTGGGAGCCTGCACCCACAGGCGATCTGGAAAAGCTCCTGGCTCCTGGCTTCAGCTTAGCTCAGCACCAGCCTTTGCAGTTATTTGTGGAGTTAATTAGCAGACAGAAAATCTTTTTGTCTTTCTCTCTGCAAATCCGACTTTCAGATAAAAATAAATCTTAAAAATTTTTTTCTTTGTTTTCTGAGAAAGGAAAAGTTGAAAGAATAAGAAAAAACTTCAGCGCAGGTGTGTGAGACACTGCTTGGGGTGACATGCACGCTCTGGGGGACTGGCAGGGTTCGGGCCCGTGCAGGCACTGCACACTCCGGGAGCAGTGAGGGCTCGAGCAGACGGGCTCTCGTTGCAGGCAGAGCACCTAGAGTGGCTTCCCTGCTCCCGGCGCTGGTCCAGCCCCAGGTTGCTGAGGCATCTGGGATTGATCCAGGCACTGTGTCAGGCCCTTTTCCAAATGTATAATCTACATATCTAGTAGTAGTCAAATATTTTACAATTATCAGGGCCCAGTGGTGTGGCCTAGCGGCTAAAGTCCTCGCCCTGAACGCGCCAGGATCCCATATGGGCGCTGGTTTCTAATCCCAGCGGCCCTGCTTCCCATCCAGCTCCCTGCCTGTGGCCTGGGAAAGCAGTCAAGGACGGCCCAAAGCTTTGGGACCCCGTACCCACATGGGAGACCCGGAAGAAGTTCCTGGTTCCTGGCTTCGGATCGGTGGAGCACTGGCTGTTGCGCTCACTTGGGAAGTGAATAATCAGACGGAAGATCTTCCTCTCTGTCTCTCCTCTCTGTATATCTGACTTTGTATCAAACATAAATAAATCTAAAAAAAAAAAAATTTACAGTTATCTGTGTTGCATGTTCCCGATCAAAAACACAACATAATAATAAAAATATAGAATAAAGAGAATGCAAAGATTCTAGACATTTAAGAATAAAAAGTACACAGACATGTTTTAAAGAAGCCATTTTTCATTCTTTTTTTAGATTACAACACACATACAATAAAGTGAATTTTATCAAAATACAGCACATTTCTTCTACTATATTCATAAAAATCAATTCCTATGTAAATAGTACTGGAAATCAACTAAAATGAGTTAAAATTTACAAAGAGTTGTTAAAGGGTTTCAATCAAAATTATTAAAACTATACAGTACAATAACCAATTGACAACATATTGAAAGAAGTGCAATATTTGAATTCACATATTTTCAAAAGTGCTGCCTATTCACTTTGACTAGCAACTGTGGAAAATGAGTCCAAATGACTCTTGCAAAAATAATGCAGGTGGGTATTTTCTCACTAGTACTATAAGAATCTTTATCAAATCAAAGTTAAAGAACAAAGCATAACATATTAAAAATCCCCATATTCTCTGTTTTTTTTTTTAGTAATTAAAAATGAGTTGCAAGAACTGAATATTGCTCTAATGACTAGCCTCATCTGAAACATTATTGGTCTTCTATGGCACTTTTGCTGGTCCAAATAACCATGCATTAAATCTTATCATTCCATGTGACTCAAATTTTATTTGATTATGTAGAAGAAAAACAATTAATGGTTTGGAAAACAAAAATAAACCTATATTGTCAAATGTCTGTTACAGTAACTAGGAACAAAGGCAGTTGGTGGTGAGACATTATGACACGGATACACTTAAGGAACCCTTTCCGACTCGGAAGTGTCGAGTTCACATTGACCATGACCCGGAGGAACAGCCCTTCCCTGGCAGCCCGCGGCCCTCCCTCAGCCCCAGCGCTCCACAGCAGCTCTCCCTGTGCCAGTTGCCCAAGCTTGCTTTGGTTTCCTAGCTCCACGCGTGCTCCACGTCTCCTTCTACTTCACCAAGGCAATGCAAGGCCAAATGAAAATCAAAAGGCTTTCCCTAAACCTCAAACTGCGTTATGGCTAACACAGTCTTAAACTGGCCATTTTAGTTTCACTTGCTGTTTAACATAAAAATTATAAATTACATTTAAATGGCGTACTATTATAAAACAGATTACAAGTACCACCATTTACAAACAAACAAAAAAAAAAGTGAGGGGGATTTCCATAGCACAGAAAATGCATGGACATGCATCTACAGAAGAGTTAAAAAATTTCCTCTAAAAAAATTAAAAATGAAATCACCAGTAAGAAAGGTACAGTCAATGGCTGTGACGACAACAGACTGTAGAGCTCAGAACACATGTTATTGTCTTTTTCACTTCTTTAAAAAGACATTACACAATTATTGCATTATTCTATCAAGAAAGACGTTGACAGATACCTTTTGTTTTTTTCATTCTTTACTTCCAGACTTACAGGAAATAATTTTTTACTCTGGCCTTGGAAAGTGAACCCACCAGCACCACCTTCACCTACTCACTCTTCAATTCAATATGCACATAGCAAAAGCCGACACTTCAAAGCTGTGCCCACGTCAAAAGACATCAACACCAGTGGAATAAAAATAAGGGCATAAAGCTATGAGATAGATAGCTCTGCCATCTAGCTCTGGGCTACAATCAAGGCTAACTATTGCCTTGCAAACAGTTCAGTCATGTATGAAATCCAAAAATAAAACTACCATCTATACAAAAACAATTATAGGTTTGTTTTTGTAGCCTTGATTGCTATGTTTAAAAACCTAACCGTCATTTTGATATGGTATGAATCCAACAGTCTTTTTTGTATTCTGTACAGTGGTTCTTTCCCTCTAACCACAAGCTCCATTATTTCATTAATGTACAAATTGGAACATAATTTCAGTTCTTTATGTATAAAAATAGTCAAGCTATCCATGTCCCCGTAAGTGTCTTCCAGTCACTCTCGCCACCCTTCACTGTCCACAGTGCTTAGGAGGAAACTTCACGTATAATGATGAGTTCCACTGTATTCTGGAAAGTTTTAAGCAAGGACACTGCCTGCCCATGTTCAATGTTGATAAAACTGTAGCCATTAGCCTAAAAGAAAAGAGGGAAAATGTTAAGAAAACGATTTCACAGTAATTTATTTGCACTACTGCACTTACATTTCTGGCAGGTAGCTCACAAACATGGGAAAAAATAAGAGTTATGTTGGAATTTGCACAAACACAGCAGGCGCACGGACCCTACCCCATTCCTGTGGAAATAAGACTTTGGAAACTGCATGTTTTCAGTCAATCCTATGGAACATCCCACTGTTAGTAAATATTTCTCTAATTCCCTATCAGACACGGTACTCTGGGTGCGTGTGCACTCGTGCCCGAAGTAGCCTGGAGCCACCAGGGAAGGCTAACCTTCCGTACGCCTCTCAGACCAGGACCACAGGGCCTACCATCAATGCTAACACTGCTGAGGTGTTACTATCCACATACAGTTCTAAGTGCTTCACATGAATCGAACTGCTTTTTCAAAAATTTAAATAACATTTTTAAAAACTTTACTTTTATTTGAAAGGTCAAGTTACAGAAAGAAGAGACAGGGAGAGATCCTGCACTTGCTGGTTCATTCCCCAACGACCACAGCGGCCAGAGCTGGGCTGATTCCAGGCCAGGCCGCTGAGCTTCCTCAGCTGTCACATGTGGGGGCAAGGCCCCAAGAACGTGAGCAGTCCTCTGCTGCCTTCTCAGGCCATAAGCAGGGTGCTGACACTTTATATGGAGGCTTAGCCTACTATACCACCGCACCCGACCTAAATGCCTTGGATTTTTATAACACTCAAAGATAATGTTTTATCTTCTTTTAGGAAGAAAAAAAAATATATCCAGGCATGGGGAGGCAAAACAACTTAGCTATAAAAATGTAACAACAGATTTCCAAGTGGTTCAGGAAAAGTTAAGTGTCTATAAATGAGTGTGTATGTGTGTGTGTGTGTAGAGAGGGAGGGAGGCAGGGTGGGAACAGATTAAAAGCTAAAGACAACGTGGCAGGCTTGGCGTGATAGCCTAGTGCCTGCATCCTCGCTCTGCATCCACTGGGATCCCACATGAGTGCCAGTTCATATCCCAGCTGCTCCACTTCCCAGCCAGCTCCGCTGTGGCCTGGGAGGGCACCGCAGGATAGCCCACTGCCTTGGGACCCTGCACCCACGTGGCAGCACTGGAGGAGAATCCAGACTCCTGGCTTCAGACTGACTCAGCTCTGGTCATTGTGGTCACTTGGGCAGTGAACCAACAGACAGAGTATCTTTCTGTTTCTCTTTCTCTCTGTAAATCTGTCTTTCCAATTAAAAAAAAAATCTTTATTAGGAACAAAGAAAAAAAGAACAGAGAGAAACAGACAATGTAGCAAAATAGGGGTAACTGGTGGCCAAGAAAAAAGGGTGTATTAGGTATTTGTCTAGTCTTGCAGATTTTAAGTTTGAAATAATTCTTTTTTTAAAAGATTTATTTTTATTATTTATTTATTTATTTATTATTGGAAAGGCAGATATACAGAGAGGAGAGACAGAGAGGAAGATCTTCCGTCCGATGATGCTATGCCAAGTGATGCTATGCCGATCCGAAGCCAGGAGCCTCTTCCGGGTCTCCCACGCAGGTGCAGGGTCCCAAGGCTTTGGGCAGTCCTCTACTGCTTTCCCGGGCCACAGGCAAGGAGGTGGATGGGAAGCGGGGCTGCCGGGATAGAACCGGTGCCCACATGGGATCCTGGGGTGCAAGGCGAGGACCTTAACCACTGTGCCACCGCGCCGGGCCCTGAAATAATTCTAAAAGTTTAAAAAATGATAAACATTTTAAAATTATGACACGTGACTCCCTGAATTATGTTTTTTTTTTTTTAAACTTGACCACAGTTTCAGTTACTAAACTTTAATAGCTCTACCATAATTTTTGGTTTGGGGATTATTTTTCTTTTAAAGGAATACTTATTTTCATTTAAGAGGCAGATTTAGGCCCGGCGGCGTGGCCCAGCGGCTAAAGTCCTTGCCTTGAATGCGCCGGGATCCCATATGGGCGCCGGTTCTAATCCCGGCAGCTCTACTTCCCATCCAGCTCCCTGCTTGTGGTCTGGGAAAGCAGTCGAGGACGGCCCAAAGCCTTGGGACCCTGCACCCATGTGGGATATCCAGAAGAATTCCTGGATCCTGACTTCGGATTGGCCCAGCTCCTGCCGTTGCGTTCACTTGGGGAGTGAATCATCAGACGGAAGATCTTCCTTTCTGTCTCTCCTCCTGTGTCTGACTTTGTAATAAAAATAAATAAATCTTAAAAAAAAAAAAAAAAACAGGCAGATTTATAGAAAGACTAGAAATACAGAGATCTCCCACTTGTTGGTTCACTTCCAAATGACCAGAACGGCCAGAACCGAGCCGATCCAAAGCCAGAGCAGAGCTTTAGTTTCCTACATCGGTGCATGGGCCCAGGACTAGAGCCATTTTCCACTGCTTTCACAGGCAACAGACAGGAAGGTGGATTGAAGTGGAATAAGTGGGACTCAAGCCAGCACCCAGAGGGGATGCTGGTGCTGCAGTCGGCAGTCTGAGGATCAGCCCGCAGCACTGGCATTTCACATTCATGCTAGTTTCAGTCCCGCTTGCTCCACTTCAGATCTCGCCCCTTGCTGGCGCGGCCTGGGAAAGCAGCAGAAGATGAGCCAAGTGCTTGCTTGGGTTCCTGCATCTACATGGGAGACCTGGAAGAAACTCCTGGTTTCTCTGGTCATTTAGGGGAGTAAACCAGCAGGGGGAAGGTCTCTCATTCCTTGCAAACAAATTAAAAAAAATAAATCTCTTTAAAAAATGCCTGTGTTGGAATACTGGCTCTGACTCATGTACTTGAGTTCCGGTCAACTACCTGAGTAACTTAAATTGAGTTCTCCATTCTGATTTGTGACCTGGGTCATCCCCAGCTGCTGCAGGCACTTCAGGCAATGACCTATTACCAAGAGATGGGAGCTCTCTCTCTTTGCCTTTCAAATTAATAATAATAATTTAAAAAAGAGCAAGAAGGCCCAGCACGATGGCACAGTGGTTAAGGTCCTTGCCTTGCACGCCCGGGATCCCATGTGGGCGCCGGTTCTAATCCCAGCAGCCCCACTTCCCTTTCAGCTCCCTGCCTGAGGCCCCGGAAAGCAGTCGAGGACAGCCCAAAGCTTTGGGACCCTGCACACGCGTGGGAGACCCGGAAGAGGCTCCTGGCTTCGGATCGGCATAGCATTGGCCGTTGCGCTCACTTGGGGAGTGAATCATCGGACGGAAGATCTTCCTCTCTGTATATCCGCCTTTCCAATAAAAAAAAAAAACTCTTAAAAAAAAAAAGAGCAAGAAAGATTAATACCTAAACAAATAACAACAATGCAGGCAGGGATAGAGAACAGTAGCTGTATTTCTCTAAGGCCTGTCTTCTCAATCAGAGCTACACTGCACAAATTCAGACAGAATGAGTATTTGATGAACCCTGGAAGAGAAGGCACATGTGAAAATTAAAATAATTTAATTACCTGAACAATCTTATCACCTGGTTGCAGTAATTTCGATGCTGGTCCTTCAGGCTGTACTCTTGTTACAAATATACCCTTCAGGAACAACAAAAAAGTTATTAGAACCAAAAGCAAGATGCATAAGTAACAGAGTACTACAGAGCAATCTTATTTTCACACCATGTAAATACCTGAAAGATGATCTCAGAATTCTTAAATATTGCTGAAAATCTAATTACGTCATCTTTTGACCTTTCCTGCCCTTTGCAAGATGTATTTACGTTTGCTCTGAAGACAGAGTTAATTTCTTGGTTCATTGTCCACATGGCCACTGCGGCCAGAGCTACGCCAGTCCAAAGCTGCGAGGCACAAGCTTCTTGTTGGTGACCCCTTTGGGCACACGGGTCCGAGGCCTTTCCCAGGCCAGAAGCAGGTGGTGCACTGGAAGCAGGACAGCTATGTGGTGTTGTCTTTGCTACTGGGAGCCTAATTTGCGCACCAGTTGCTGGGTGCCAATATAATTGCTTTTTAGTGCCAGTCATATTCTGACTTGATAAAGCTGAGACAGACTCATGTGTTGGCTGCTCTATTTTAATTCAGTTCCTTGCCCTGGAAAGCAGTGAAAGAGGGGTGGAGCGTTTATGGCCCCTGCCACCCTCTTGGGATACCAGGACATGAGGATGAAGTTCTGGGCTCCAGGCTTCAGCCTCGCCCTACCCCGACAGTTTCAGCCATTTGGAGAGTGAACCAGCAAATGGAAGAATTCTTTCTTCATTGCTTCCTCTATATCATTCTTTCAAATAAACACATGTTAAAAAAAAATTATGGAATTACTTTCACAGAGATTGAAAAGCAGTAAAATAAAAAAGTGTTTGGGGCCAGAATGTGGCCTGTGCAAGCCAGTATCCTCTCTGGGGACCAGTTCTGACCCAGCTCCCTGGTAATGGATCTGAGAAAAAGGGAAGCTGGTCCAAGTACCTAGACACCTGCTGTCCACATGGGAGTCCAGGAAGGAGCTCCTGGCCACCGTGCCCATCTGGGGAGCGAATCAACGCATGGAAAATCCTGTAGCCCTGACTTTCAAATATTGTTTTTTAAAAGAAAGAAAATTAAAAAGCACTTGATGTTATCTTGAACATTTAAAATTTTTGGTTACATTTTCTCCCTCAATTACAATGAATTGATCAGATTTCAAAAAAAAAATACAAAGGGAAATTTAAAAAGATGGCATCTAACTAGATTTACAGAGCATCTAATTGATTCACTTAAATAAACAGTGACTGAATCAATCAACAAAGCTTACATCGTCATCAGGCTTGAACGGATTTCCTCTACCTCCAACACCACCTGAAATGCTAAATCCAAGTTCTGGATCCTTTTCAATTCTTATTCGAATCTGAGTTAATATGAAAATAAAGAATACTACCGTTATTATTTCAAAAAAGTTACAACACAATATCCATATTTAAATATTGGCGAATTAAATTAAAACAAATGTAGGTATTCATCAAAGACGAACATTTGGGCAGATGAAATGACACAACACCACAAATACTACGTTAATGAGTTAGTGAGTTAAAGACACAGCTGGGTTATAAAGCATAGCTCCTATTTTACTGCTAATCAGAGAATTAAAACTGACCCTATTTTTAGACATGATGATTCCAATGACATCACAAAACCTGAGTGTTATCAGCTTACACTGTGAAATATCTAAATGAAACACTATCTCTGTCTAATGACTGTTTTGTAATTCATCTAAACCATCCACTGGTGTTTTGGGGGTACTGCCTCTTCATTTTCTAAAACTGTTAACATAATTCAAATGGGTTGGGATTTTAAAATATGATCAATTGGCAGTTATTATAATCTAACTATAAAAATGGTATAAAATCTAAACTTTTCCCAGATTACTTCTTTTTATCACTCAGCAAAGACAAAGCTAATATTACTGATCATTTCATCAATAAGCCATCAAGATATATGAACGTTCTATGACTTTTAAAGTACTTTTTAAGATTAAATATTCAGGGGCTGGTACCATGGCTCAACAAGCTAATCCTCCACCTTCAAGCGCCAGCATCCCATATGGGTACCAGTTCATGTCCTTGTAGCCCCACTTCCCATCCAGCTCCCTGCTTATGGCCTGGGAAAGCAGTCGAGAACGGCCCAAAGCCTTGGGACCCTGTACCCGCGTGGGAGACCTGAAGAGGCTCCTGGCTCCTGGCTTCGGATTGGCTCAGCCTCGGCCATTGTGGCCATTTGGAGAGTGAACCAGTGGATGGAAGAATTTCATTGTCTCTCCTTCTCTCTGTAAATCTGTCTTTCAAGTAAAAATAGACCCTTAAAAAAAAGATTAAATATCCAAAGACATACAGAGACCAGTAATCCAATAGATTTCCAAAATCGGTGGACTAAATAAGCCTGTGGCACAGAATATTTCATTTCTGCTTAGTGACCTACTTTTTACATTCATAAAGGTCTGACTACTAAAGTATTATCAATCTAGTCCTAGAAAAGTAATCTTACACACAAAAAAGGGGCAGAACCCATCCAGAAATATTAACTCCCATGACAATGATCTGTGAAGTTAAGAACTAAAACTTTAAAAACGTCAAAACCGATTAAAATCCTATAATGATTCTAATCATTAAATAACCTATAAAACACACGACAAGCTCAGTCTCCTATTTCAAACAGTCGGAATTCTTACCTCTTGTTTTGCCAGTTCATGCCCTTGTCTAGCAGAACAATGGGGCTGTATATATGGAGGCTGGTGGGCCACTTTCAGCATCAAGTAATCAATTAGTTGTTCTCTAGAGGGATGCCTTGCCACAGATGCCTGAGGCCTGAGAGGCTGGCCCATCTGTCCATTACTCAAAGGCATCTAAGAAAAACATGAAGTTTCTTAAAATGACCAAGAACAATATCTTATTACAAATATTTGGACTTCTTTTTCTTAGAGCATAATAAAAGCATTAAGTTTTAATATCTGAATTACAACACCATGCCAATTACTATTTTTCTCTAATTTTAAAAAAGTTTTTGTTGTTTTCATTCTAAACATCCTCATGTGTTGGTTGATATTCACTTTTAAGCTTCTAAATGAAAAACTATCATAACTAAATTTTAAATTATTATTAGATACAAAAATTCCTATCCTTTTTTATGGCAAGTGTTAAAATGATAATGTTCAGAATTTTCAAAATTTCAGTAAGTATCATTCCTCATACTGAAGTTAATCAAATACACATTCATGCAAGTACATCCATTGGTTTTTCTTTAATAATTTTGTTGTGGTACTCTTTTCCCTAACTTGCATTTATCTTTCCATATTTCTTTTTTTCCGGGTTTAACAAGCCAATTCAATCATCTATGCAGCAGAGAATTTTTCATTCCTCATGTGCGCTTATATACTAGCAATTTAAAAATTTAATAATAAAAATTCCAGAATGAAATGAAATGAAATGAAAGAAAATGCATACTTTTGGAGTCTTTTTCACTGTTATACTTGAGGATTTAGTATAAAATTGTGCTTGAGCCTTAATGATAGAGCACAGCTACTATTTGACACATCCTGTATGGATGAAGAAGGAGAAACAAGTGCCATATTATCCCTGGAAGCTACGTGTGAGCACGTGAGCGGCCCAGGAGTGACGAGCTGTGCTGCCGCTTTACTGCACGCAGTTCCGCAGGGACTCCTCGCTCTCCTGTCTGCATCACTACGTGCAGGTCCAGCATCTTCCTCCCGAGAAAAATCGGAAGAGGGTTATTACTGACCTGAGCCTCCTTCACACCTGGACATTTGGCCTTTCCTGAATCAAGGTTAACCACACACATGAACTATATTAAGATATGAGTAGCAGATGGCTCAGAATATTAAAAAGCATGGAATAAACTCAGTAATCAAACCACACAATGCGTATGACTGAAAAACCTGGAAGACAGAGCCCAAATTAAAAAAAGCACAAAGCAAATCCGTATAATTTAGGTATTAGATGCCCAGATGTCTATTCACAAGGTAAGTAACTACGCTTCATAATTTTACTTGGTGATATTAGAGGCATGGGATTGGTACACAAAATGGGAAAAAGAGCTGAGTGAAAACAGCAATGAATTAGCTATCAGAAAATCTACCTCCAAATGAACACTTTTTTTTGAGGGGGGGACTACAACCTTCTTTTATTATACATACAAAATCTTTCAAGATGATTTCTAACTACATTTGAACATTTGGTAACAGTAAAAAATCTTAGAATGAAGAATTTGGGACAAATTCATTATCAATTTTCAAAATAAGTTTACTAGCAAGAATGCCAACAAGGCTCATGATTTGAGCCAGTAGATAGTATTACAGACTCCAAATGCAGAGACTTGTCAAATAAAAACCAAGAGAAAAACAGCCAAACTGCTTGGTTTCTGAATTAAAAATCTTACTATTAATCATTCTGAGAAAACTTAAAAAAAAAGTGTTATTATTTAAAGCACAAATGGTAGTTCTAAGTTCAAAAGCTACAAAACACAGTAAACTTACAGACACTACTTCATTTATCTCCTGAGCACCTACTTTTATCAAGCTGTCTGGAAGAACATCTTTGTGACTAAGTGTAGCTGAAGAGTAGTTCTGCTGTCCTGAAATGAATGTGTCATCTTGGCAAGGATCTCCTGGGCTGGATGTCTGGGGATGGTTCACATGAGGGGAAATAAAGGATTAGATGCGAAACCAAAATGATGACATTCAGAGATTATGAAAAACATAATGCTGGAGCGTGTGAGGATGAAGTCCTAGAGCAAACGTGACTGTGCCCACTGCCACCACAGCACCTGGGGCTCCTTGCACAGCCCGGGGCTCCTTGCACAGCCTGGGGCTCCTTGCACAGCCCGGGGCCTCACGCTTGCTCTCAATGTGAAGCAAATGACACAGACTGTTACCTAGTTCCTACTCGTGGACACACAGAAAACAAATTCTGCATGTTCCATTTCAATAACACATAACTCATAACACATTTTAAGAAGTAAATTCAGTTATTAATCAAAGATAAAGGCCTCAAAGAGCATCGTGAATACTGCTGATGAGCACTGCAAACATTTTTTGGGTAAAAAAAATTCACCACTGTTCTTTTAATAGTCCAGTAGCACATGTGATTTTTTAGTTAGCACCAATGGATTTATGTTTCTCTGAAGCTTGCTTTGGCTTAATTCTGTCACATGATGTTAAAAGCACTGATTTGCAGAAATGCTTCATACTCCAAGCAATACTTTTACAATTTTACCTTACTAAAAATTTTAGACGAAACAGATTCAATCTCATTATCCTGGAATATTTCCTATAAGAAAAGCACATCTATATTTTTCACCTTTCATTTAGATCTGAGAATATTTAGACAAACTGTAATAAGCAGACCGAGATAAACAAATTATTTTTAAAGCGGCATGTAACTAGCAACATAGAAATGAAAATTACTGTGTAGAAAAAAACCCCTGAAATCTACTTCATTATGATACATTACAGGAAACACACAAATTTATATCTTAAAAATTATATTTGCAATAGGTATACATTGAAACTATCTCTAAAGTCAGTTGCTAGTTCAAACCATGGCTTAGCATTTTTGGATATGGCATCTAATTTTGTATGCATTTGCAATGAATAATTTTCTTTGTAAGATATACTTCTAAATTAAATAAGCCAACTTAACTTGCAGCTTCAAACTTTAACCCAAGCCTGAAAATAAAATTATTTTCAAATACTGTTAACTTAATAAAAATTACGCAAAGTGTTACTCTAACAGACTCTGGAAGGGCAAGATGTGTGGTGAAGGGTTAAACTGTCAGTTAGGCAGGAACAGAGCCATGTTAAGAGTCCCCAGGACGGAATCTCATTTCTGATACGGATCCAGATTCCTTCTGGAACCCTGGGGAGGAACAGATGATGATGGCTCTGGCCTCTGGCTCCCCGCACACCTGTGCGGTACACAAACTCAGACACAGTTTCTGGCTTCTGGCTTCTGGCTCCTATTATGGTCTGACCAAACCCTGGCTAGTAATGGGCATTTGGAGACGAAGAGAATGAAACCACAGCTGGAAGATGTTTATATGAGTCACTATGTCACTTTGTGTTTTAAATAAATAAACTGCAACAGAAGAGAACTCAGTACTAGGCAACAAAGGATAGGGTTGAGTTAGGTTAGATGACAGCCAGCACAAAGTAAAACCAGGGGACTGTTCCTAGACCACAAAAGAGCAAAATTAGCAATGCAGAGACTTCATAAAGTTTGCGAAAAAATGAAAAGGTGAGTTTACTTCTGAGTAAGAAAAGTTTAAAACCTTTTTAAAAACTGATTCTTCACAACATGCGCTTTCTGATTTTTTTATAACGTGAACTTTCTGAAGACCCCCCACATACTTAAAGAAAAGGCGTGGGGGACATGACACCCAGGAAAAAGACCCAGGAGCAAGCGGACTCAGTAATTGTGGCTTAAGCTTGCTAGGCTGCCACTACAGTGCCTGCAGCTGCAACCCCACAGCTAGTGCTGCACTTCTGATCTAGCTTCCTGCTGATGTTCTGGATGTAGCAGTGGAAGAAGGCCCAAGTGCCTGGACCTATGCCACCCATATGTTGAAGCTCTTGGCACTCGCCTGGCCCAATCAATTGTGGCCATTTGGACAGAAAAACAGTTGATGGGAGATGCCTCTCCTTTTCAAATAATTAAACCATTAAAAAAAGGAGGGAGGGGGCAAAAAAATTTTGCTACAACAGCTAAGTGAGAGTTGATCAGTTCTTTTTTCTGCCATTCTAACCCACTTGGCCTTAATTTCATTAAAATAATTAGCTTCTGTTTACTGCCAAGGACTAGGATGAAATGTTGCTTCCTCACAGGCACTGACTAGCATGTCTGACCACACTCAGCAACTACGATCACGTTTAGTTCCGGGTAATGTTGGAGCTGTAGCTGCAATCTTACCTAATCAGGTAAGATTATCCCTTCCTGGAACAACTCTGCAGATTAAATATGGCAGAGCCTTAAAACCCTCAACTGGGGGGTGGGGGTGGCGGGGAGCTATTTCTACTAGTGAAAAAAAAAGCCCTATAAAAGACTAACAGTTTTTAAAAATCTCTTAGGTAACTATTCATACAGATAATCTCTTTTTGCATAAACAAGAAAACAACATCAGCTTATTGAGCAAAGAAAATGAAATGTTAGACTAAATGAGTGCTGAAAAGTTTGAGAACTAAGCCATGGAAGAACAAGTAGGAAATTAAGATTTTTTAATCCAAAGTAATAAAATTTCCTCTAGAGTCACTAAGACATTTAAATTTGGAGTTTTCTTTCCTACACGATAAAAGTATTGGTCTACTACAGATACTCACTCGAAAAATGTGCCCACCAGAACCTCTTCCGTCTGCAACACTCAAGGCAAGACTGCCCTGGCTGCCATGCAGATCCCTAGAGCTGCCATGGTGCAGACTGCTTACAGCAGCCAAATTGGAATTAAAGGACCGTGACAGCATGCTCTGAATGAAGAGGGGACAGAGTTACAGAGATTAGTGTAGCATGCAAAATCCACAAGACATGTTATATACGCAGACTTACTCACAGGCACTTCCAATACAACAAAGAAATTTCATGCAATGTTGAACGTGTCCAGTAACACAGAAAGTGGCCAGAGCCACGGAGAGAAATTGGGTACTAGTCACCATTTATTTACATGACAACACACACAAACACATACATTACATATAAACTAGTCACATGTTTAAGAACCAGAAGAGTTTACAAATACTCAGAGATTTTAATCATGCTATTATTTCCTAACACATTGTTTCAGAAGACAGAAACTGAAACCAAATTCAAACATATATTTATCTCTATGGTTATGCACAAACTGACGTCTAAATATTAAGATGAATTTCTAGAGAACCTCATGATTTGTACAGAAATAAACTGAGAGATCAAACACACATGCTATTATACAAAATATATTTCTGAAAAATATCTGGCCCGTGGCTACTTTAATGTCTAAGAAACTTCTACAATTGCAACAATATTTTAAAGTTTAACACCCACACACACAATTTTAGGATAAAACTTATAAGAGGTTCTTGTCACTGTACAATTTCCACAAGGAAAAAAAATCCTAGGAAACACATGTGTAACTCATTTTTTCTCCCATTCAAATAGATTCTAAGGATTCTGTATTTCGAAGTTCTTGGTGACCTTTTCTGCCTAAGCTGGAAGAAACGCTCGTGGACTCCTCCCACAGACTGAATTTAAACCGCTCCCAGAAGTGTCTGAGATCTGTTGGGTCGGAAGAAGGTACACAACCGCCCCTGGGTTGGAGCAGCCAAGGGGAAGTGACTGGGAAAGAACATAGCAGCCTTAGAATACAGCCTGGTTTTTAAGCAACAGAAGGCCTGCCCTGTCCTACAGATTTAAGACAAGGTTCCTTGCTTCTGCAGACAACCCAGAAAAATCTTCCTGGTCAGCACTATGCGGGCATTTCAGTCTAACACACTATACCAAACCTCAGGAAGTTTGCCATGAACTCCACACAGCTCCTGGCTGAGGTCCCCAAGACTGTGGGATGTGCTGCCTCATTCAACCTACCAGGCTTAGTGATACTCTGTCTCAACATCTGAAATTCTCTCCTGAGAGAATAAACTCTGATCCAGTCACCTCTGGGAACAAACAGACCTCAGGAAGTGCAGTCTCTCAGTGTTGCTCTCATTTCTACTGCTAATGGTGTTCTTTCACAGGGCTGCTTTGAGTCATGTCAGTGTTGGGCAAACTGGTAAACCATACTTTGTGTGCATGGTCTATTATTAATATATATAGAATCCGGCCACCCACAGTGCCAGTGTCCTGTCTCAGCCACTCTACTTGCAGGTCCTTGTGACTGGTCAGGAAGCAGGGGGCCTGTCACTCACGTGGGAGTCCTGGAAGAAGCTCCCGACTCTGGCTTAGTCCAGCCCGGCCATCCCTGCCAGTTGGGCAGTGAACCAGCAGATGTAAGACCTCTTATTTCCTCCACAACCCTTCCTTTCAAATATAATAAATTTTCTAAAAAAGTACCACAAACCCCCTTAAAAAAATACGGCACTATTACGACAAGCGCCTCCATATTGTTAGGAAATGCAGACCTTCAGATTTTGAATGCTACAGAAAATCATTTAGAAACATTACCTTGATTCAGAAAACAAAACATCTACAAAATCACTATGTACATTTTTAGCTACTTTATGAACTTTAATCAACTGACTACAGAAAAGTCTAAACTTAATAGCTCAGATCTACATTTACCCAAGTATAAAGTCCAGCATAGATGATTTCAAGGCTCCATTGATACTTAAAATTTATTTTCATTTGAAAAGCAGAATTCTAGAGACAAGGAGAGGCAGAGAGATCCTCCGTCTGACCTCGATCACTCCTTACAAGACATCAACAGCAGCAGCTGGACTGGTCAAGAGCCAAGAGCATCCTCTGGCTCACCACACAGTGTAGGATCAGAGGACATCCAGGCCACCAACAGGGAGCTGGACTGGAAGTGGCACAAGCAGGGCTCGATCCGGTGCCCATATGGGATGTGGCAACTCAGGCGGAAGCCTAGGCTGCAAGTAACTGGACCCAGCTACTCCCAGGAGTGAATCCTGAACTCAGTTCTGGGCCCCTGGCTTCAGCTTGGCCCCCGCCCAACTGTTGCTGATATCTGGGTAGTACACAAGTGTTTGGAAAAGCTCTGCCTCCCTCTCTGCCTTTCAAATAGAAACTATTTTTAAAAATTAACATTTACAAATACCAAACACTATAAATGACATAAGAGCATTAATGTGTTGCTGAGTGGTCTGACTGACCTTTATAATAACATGCAGGTGGAATATGCATGGCCTTTTTACTGGCATGTTTGCATATAAGTCTACTATAAATATTCCACTAATAAGGTTGAATGTCAAAACATCTGATTTTGAATTCAGGCTTATACACAGACATTCAATATGGACAGTTCGATCAAAGTTTAGGCATGATGCCCTGGGCAATCCTGCTCCCCACACGCCAACAGTTGCATAATACAAACCAACATGGCATTCACTAATGTTGTACTGAACTGCATTATGGTTTAGAATATTGAAATGAAGAGTTCTGGGACTAGCATGCTGGCTCAACCAGGTGACTAATCCTAAACCTGGGCACCAGGATCCCACACTGGTTCTATGGCCCAGCTCCTCACCTCCAAATTACTGGTAGACATAACCAGGATACTGTCATACTCTCTCCAAGAAACTGTAATGCAAATTTGTAAATAAGTATTTTATGCAATGGGGAGAAAACAGTACCTACAACAATGACATGGAGGCTGGTACAGTGTGCAGCACAATGGTTCAACTGGAATCCCATATAGGCACCAGTTTGTGTCCCAGTGACCCCACTTCCCATCCAGCTCCCTGCCTGTGGCCTGGGAAAGCAGTTGTGGACAGCCCAAAGCTTTGGGACCCTGCACCCAAATGGCAGATCGGAAGAAGCTCCTGGCTCTTGGCTTCAGATTGGCTCAGCTTTGGCTGCTGTGGTCATTTGGAGAGTAAACCAGTGGATGAAAAATCTTTCTTTCAGTCTCCTTCTCTCTGTAAATCTGCCTTTCCAATTTAAAAAAAAAGTATATCTTAAAAGATAGCTGCACTGCTTGGGTCCTGGCAGGCACATGGAAGACTCACACGGTGTATTTTTAGGCCCCAGGATTCGGCCTGACCCAGCTTCAGTGGCTACAGCCGTTTGGAGAGAGAATAAAAAGATAGAAGATTTCTCTGTGTCTCTCTGCCTCTCAAAAATAAAAATAAACCTTAAAGAAAAAAAAAAGTCTGACACAGGAAACAATGAGGCAGCTAGCTAGCTGTTACTTCCTTCCTACTGAGTAAAGTTCAGGGACATCCGTCAGAAAAGGAGAAAGAGAAAATCACCTGAGAAACTATACAAAAAAATCATCATCAAACATCACCTCCTCCTCCAAGCTCAGCGATTTCCAACAATTTTACTTATTCAAGACAAAAGTCCCTAGGTTGTCCACTTGCCCTAGTGACTGCTTCTAGAAATATTCAATCAGAAGTCAATGCTTATCACACAAAGTTCCTGATTCATCTCCTGGATTAATTCCTTTAGCTTAGTTTCAGTAACCATTTACCTTTTATTACTTCTGTCGATTACTCTTTAACACTTCCTCCTAAAATTCAGGTCTGTCACCAGAAGTTTATTAATAAAACACAGCTATATTATAGCTATGCTTAAGAAATTTCCAAATTTCTTAGAGTTCACAGGTTGCCTCAACTGCAAGGTTACACTGCCTCATGTAAGGTTACACCTGATGAGAACAAAGCAGGTGAACAGAGATATTCAGGTATTTAAAGCTAAGACAAAGAACTAAGTCATACTGGCTTAGACTCAAAAGACATAGGGTACTGATCATATTTTAGGTACCTATTTCTGAGAATTTAAGGAATTACAAAGTAACAAGCTCAACATTTCCAGTTTTTCTTTGCTTGCTTTTTAGATTTTACGTTTATCTGAAAGACAAAATTACAGAGAGAAGGACACAGAGACAGACAGATCAGAGGGATTTCCATCAGTTGGTTCACTGCCTGCCCATATAGCTGCATGGACCATAGCTGAGCTGATCTGAAGCCGGGAGCTTCTTGGGAGTCTCCCAGGTTCACACAGGAGCCCAAGGAGGATCTGGCTGAGACATGAGCCACTGCCCATCTGGGATGCTTGAGTCGCAGGCAGCGGCTTAGCTCACGACACTATGGCACCTGTCCTGTGCGTAGATTTTTTTTTAAGCAGATGGAAGATAATTCTTGGTTAAAATCCAGTGATGGGTGTAAGGAGATGTAAATCAAGATCCAAAAGAATATAGGCCACATGATTGACTGGTTTTACAGGATAATTCAAAAAGAAATTCTATCTTTCAAAATATGAAAACTTATACACAAAATTATAAATTGAACAAGTTACGCTCACACTGTACATTTAACCGAACTCAGCTAGGTCAGAATGCAGAGAGGTCAAGAACAAATGCCATGCCAGAAGCCTGTGTCAGTGACAGGGTGAAAACACACACGAATGAGGAAAAAAAAATAATGAAAAAACTTACATTTGCAATATACATATATATATATAGTTATTTTGTTAACCATATAATAAACTACTATGATCTTACAATATTTACAAAGTTAACAATAGAGAACTGGAAGTGAAAAATCCTAAATGGAGGTATACATGAGTACACAAACTATGAGAATTAAAAAAAAAAAGAAAAAAAGAAAAAAGAATGTTTACTCATCCGAAATTCTGTGGGTAAGAGGAAAATGAAGCATCACTATCACCTCAAATGTGCTAACTTTAAACTCAGAACTCTACTCTTAATAGTGCGAAAAATCCCCTGGAGTAAGCAGATCTCAAGTATCCTGTTTCATCTTATTTAAAAACAATGAATGCCAACTATTTCTAAAGAAGTAGTTAATCTTATAGCTTATATAACTATATAGCTATATCTATAGAGAGAGGGATAAAAACCCTTATGCTCAGTTACCTTTTCTAACTTTTTGGCTTCAATGTGTCGCAGAACTTGTTCTCGCCAGTCAGGAGGAACCTTACTTTTTCCTGGAGGCTCCAACAAAGAATGTTCAGAACCCACCCTTGCACTTGGCCTTTTGGAAGGACTAGTCCGAGAATGGCTGAAATCACTGACTGACATAGTTCTCTCTGGTATTTCGTTCACAGAGGGCCGAGCACTTTGAGGCCTGGCTGCATTTGGACCGTCCACGCTGTACGTCCGTGCAGAGAGAGGTCTCTGTGACCCTGGCATCATTGGAGGAGTTCTGCCCACTGAATGTAACTCTCTGTATGATAAATAGTCTCCTTCAGGAATCTGGGCCCTCCTTGGGGGACCGAGATCACCAAGGTTTATAGAGGCCGTGGAGGACACACTACTCTGCCGTTGAATGGTACTTCGACTTACTGCAGGAATCAATCGCTCATTTGGTGACATGGCCCACATTTCCCCATGTCTTCCTGGGCCAAGTCTTTGATGTAAATGGTATGCAGTGTTAGTTGGCACATTATTATGGTTAGAAAAATTCATATTGGCAGAATGTCTGGCATAACTGTGGGTTTCTGCGCTCTCTGATCTAGGAAGGCGCTGAGGAGGAAAACTGACATGGTCCACTTGAGGATTCTGCTTAGAGTGCCACAACGTGTCTCTGACTGCAGGGCTGCTACTGTACTGGATGCTGTACTGCGGGGGACCGTACATCTGAGGCATCGACTGTGGGCCACTTGTTGCGGGGCCTCTGACTGTGTTCGGCTCTTCAGGATTATGGTTTGAATCAAACTTGTAAATTGCTTTTGTACCAGATATTAAATCAGAAGATGAGGAGGAACCAGTAAATACTTGCAACGGTTGATCATACAGCAGTGTGGCAGACTTGCTCCTGACTATATTTTTCCCATCAACAGCAGAGGTAGTTTTGACTGCTGCACTTGGTTGCTGAGGCCCATTATCACTAATGATGTCATAGATTTTTAATCCCCCAGCCTCCATATTGGTTATGCTATGAGACTTCACAACAGGTCCAACTGGTCCACTTCTCTGAGGAGCGAGCTCTTCTGTGCTCTTAGCAACACTCAGGTCCGCGGACACATCGGTGGCCTGTGCTTCCGGCCTACCAGGAGGCTGTGCGGTGTCCTCAGAATGCCCATTGACTTTGTTTGTGGATTCCAAATTAGGATATTTATTTCCATTTTCCAAAGGCTCAGCTTCTTTCTTGGTATTAACGCTTAAAAAGCTGTGTCCACGTACTACATCTTGTGTCTTTGATCTTTCCGCCATCTCAGACTGAAAGGGATCATTAGTTATAAGTTTATTAAGATTCATGTTGATATGGTCTAACTTGTGAGATTCATTTGATGTGGCTCTTGACTCAACAGCTTTATCAATTAGAACTAATCGCTCTTCGATATTCAGATCATATTCAGGTAAGTCAAAGTCCTTTTTATCACGAATTTTGTATTTTTCCTCTGTTGAGTTGTTTAATATATCTCCATTCTGTAAAAGACTATTAAAATTTTCATCTTCTTGCCTAAAATAAAGATAAGTTTATGAAAAACCAAAATGCAAGTATTTTAATCAACCAGAGATATTAATAACTAGCTGACGGTTAGGTACCTAAGTTAAAAGAGTTGATGAAGTCACAAATGAAATATTTTTAAGCATGCAATTTCAAAAAGTGAAATATAATCAAATTCACAGGGATATACCTACAGTCACTGCCACCAATATAATCTAATCTTCACAGGGCTACAGTGCAGAACAAGGCGTGGTGCACACCCTCCTTTGCTGTTCTTTCCACAAATGTGCTAAATGAAATGCTTGTAGTGTAAGTAAGTGGAGAAAAGTCAGGGAGTAGCAGCTGAACAAGGGTAAGGGATATGTTCACAAGTCCTACCTATGTTAGCAGGGTTAACCACAGCTAACCATTACTAAGAACATACCAAAACCATACAATGCACTTTATTAAAGATTTACCCAAAGTTCTGCATTACAAATATCACGCTAAGTTAGGGAAGAAGAGCAGGCATTTGGCTTAGTGGTTAAGACACCGATTCTACTTCCAAAGCCTAAGCTGGACCACTGGTTCTTCTCCCGATTCCAGCATCAGACATTGCAGATGTGGGGAGGTGAATGTGATGGTGCAAGAATTCAGGTCAGTGTCACCAATGTGGGAGACAGAGACCGGATTCCTGGTCTGCATGTCCAGTCCAGCAGATCCTAACTGGATCTCTCTCTCTCTCTCGTGTAGGTGTGTCCCCTGCTTTTTGAATGATTTTTTAAAAAGTAAAAGAAATCAAAAGAGACTAAATCTAATTATTACACATGGCCTTGTTGTATTTTGAAAATATAAATTGTATTCCTAAAATTATAGAAAATATTTCATTTACATGTGCAGCATAAAAAAATGCTCATATAAATACATATCTTCATGTAAATAAAATATATAAAGATAAATATACATATAAATATTCCAGTCATGTTTCTATAAATACTTCCTTTTTTGAAAGATTTATTTTATTTTTGTATTGCAAAGTCAGATATACAGAGAGGAGGAGAGACAGAGAGGAAGATCTTCCGTCTGATGATTCACTCCCCAAATGACCACAATGGCCTTTGCTGTGTTGATCCAAAGCCAGGATCCAGGAACTTCTTCCAGGTCTCACACGTGGGTGCAGGGTCCCAAATCTTTGGGCTGTCGTTGACTGCATTCCCAGGCCATAAGCAGGGAGCTGGATGGCAAAGAGCAAAATCCCGGCAGCTCCACTTCCCATCCAGCTCCCTGCTTGTGGCCTGGGAAAGCAGTCAAGGATGGCCCAAAGCTTTGGGACCCTGCACCTGTGTGGGAGACCCAGAAAAAGTTCCTGGATCCTGGCTTCGGATCGGCATACATTCGGCCATTGTGCTCACTTGGGGAGTGAATAATCGGACGGAAGCTCTTCCTCTCTGTCTCTCTTCCTCTCTGTATATCTGACTTTCCAATAAATAAATAAATAAATAAATCTCTCAAAAATAACCATATCTCTTCCCCACAATGAATAAAATCAGTAAAATTTTACTATCCAACAAATTAATCATTTCCTTCACATCTGAGAGGCCATAACACAAAATGCTAGGCTATGGCTTCAAATTCAGGGGAGAGAAGTGACTAATACTAACTACACAAAGTTAGAATCATTTACAGACTCAAAAATTTGTCCTACACAATACAAATTAATTAAATTTATTTAAATATGCCTGAAACGTAAGAACAATTTTATGGTAGTAAAATATTTGTACAGTAAGTTTTTGGTTCAATAGTGAAGTAAGTCTTTCTCTTAAACAGGATCCAGTTGACACATTAATACCAAATTACAATAGTGTATTTTCACTTTCATAAACTAGCTTCCTGGAAGCTCAAATAATAAAACGCATGTTAGGGACCCATTAAACCCTAGGTAATAGGAATTAAGTTAACATTTATATCTCTTTTAAAAGTTTGTCTTACAAACTTACTTAAGTCTAAGCCAAACACAGAATTAAGAGTGTATCTGCATTGATCTTTTAGTGGCATCTTCCAAAGTGATTCTGTTTTTTTTTTTTAAGATTTATTTATTTTTATTATAATATACAGAGAGATATTATACAGATATACAGAAAGAAGAGAAAGAGGAAAATCTTCTGTCTCATGATTCACTCCCCAAGTGGCCATAATGGCTGGAGCTGAGCTGATCTGAAGCCAGGAGCTCAGAGCCTCTTCTGGATCTCCCATGTGGGTGCAGGGTCCCAAGGTTTTGGGCTGCCCTTAACTGCTTTCCCAGACTTCAGGCAGGGAGCTGGATGGGAAGCAGGGCTGCCGGGATTAGAGCTAGTGCCCATGTGGGATCCTGGCACGTTCAAGACGAGGACTTTAGCTGCTAGGCCACCACGCCAGGCTCTGCTTCTGTATTTTTAAAAAAGATGTTCTTATTTAAATTAATTTTCTGAAAAGCAGACTGACAGAGAAGAGAGAACCTTCCATCCACTGGGTCATTCCCCAGACGGCCTCAACAACTACGGCTCTGGCTGCAGCCCAGAGGTTCCCCCAGGCGTCCCACATGGTGTAGGGGCCTAATCACCAGGGCCATCTTCTTCCCCAGGTGCCGGGAAATGAACTGGTGCCATATGGGACTCAAGCATCATTGGCTAAGGCTAGGCCTGCTTGCCACAATGCCTGCCCTGATTCTGTATTTTTCACAAGTATAAAAATACTCTCCTTACACTCATTTACTTAGAAATGTAACCTGTTCAATCTTTGAATTAAGAAATGGAAATGACCTGATTTCCTTATTCCTCCATTAAAAATTTCATGTAAAATAGTAGTTACAGAAATGTAAGTATAGTGGCTGGTGCTCTGGTGTAGCACGTTATGCCAATGGCTGGCATTCTAAACAGATGCTGTTCCAGGCCTGGCTGCTTCATTTCCTTGCCAATTCAACTGGGAAAACAGAAAAGGATGGCCTGAGTCCTTGGGCTCCTGCACCCAAGTGGGAGACGCAGAGAAGTTTCTTGGCTCCTGGCTTCAGCCCAACCCAAGGCCCTGGCTGCCAGCGCGATTTGAGAAGTGAGCCATCAAGTGGAAGATCTGTCTCTCCACTCCCATTCTCTCTGGAACTCTGCCTTTCAAATTTAAACACAAAAAACAATAAGGCAGATGAAAATAGCATGAGAAAACATACACTACCATAAATCACTTCTGTGTTTGTGAAGCTTTTCATAATTTACTTAAATTTCTATTCTACGACGTTCACAAACCTGACTTTGGCATTACTGTCGATGTGAGTCTGTCTCACTGGCGAGCAGAGAGAGGTGTCTTGGCTGCTATCTGTATTTAGGGAAACGGAATCAGACATCCGAGACGGAGAGGAACAATTGCTGTTGTTGTGATTACTGTTGTGTGTCACCTCATCTGATAAGGAATCTGTATCCTTTACATCATCTGAAACAAACAGAGAGCAATGTTAAGACTAATGATAAATTCACTAGCAATTTGTATGAAACACTTTTTTGTTGGTGACAAATGACATTTATTCCATTGCTATAGCATTGAAAAAGTTATTTAAAATGGTAGTTATAATGAAAATTCTGTCTTACTACAAAGATAGAAGGAATCTGAAAACAGATACCACTATTTTTAAAAATGTAACCAATACATTTACTTATAGTGAAGATAGGTTATTTTAAGGACCTTAGAAAGTAATTTTAATGAAGATATTATCAATTTACAAGGTTAAAAAACAAACTTGTAATAAAAAAATACAGTTCACAACTTTTTAAAACTTAACAGGGTAAGAAATAACTTGAAGCATAAATGGAGTCTTGAAAATCTGACAACAGAAACAGGCAATGTGACCAATCTACAACCACACAGCTGAAAACTGAGGCATTTTTAAAGGTTAGCTCTTTCTTAGCTTTTAAAGCCTTTCACGTAAGATGGTTGTGTAAGAATTACATAAGTAAATGGAGTACTCATATTCTAACACGGAATAGTTTTTTAAAGTAGTGAAAAAAGGGTTTTAACTGACTCAACGCAGCTCAGTCATAGAAACAGTGTACGCAGAGACATGAGTAAGAATACAGGGATTAGATATTTTTGCTGTTCTCAGATCTCAGGAGTAAAGCTCACCTAGCCTCAAAGTATCCTCAGCCTCAAAGTATCTGTGTCTTGGAGTCTTAGTTTTCTAATGCAGTTAACCATGATGGCTGCTAGGTTCTTTCCTGGACATATTCTATTTCTTCCTTACTATGGAGCTATCAAGAAAATAGCACATAAAATAGGTACCATGGGACCTCAACAGACAGTGAGTAAAACACACCCAGTACATACTAGGGACCACTGTCAAGATTATGAACACCAGCCACCCAAAGGCTATTCTGACAGCATCACTGACGCCTGGAAGGCTAAAGGCAGCAGAAACCCTCCAGAGGAATGACAAGACAAAATCAGGTACTAGTGGGGGCCAGGTGAGCCAGGAAATGGATATCCTTCAAGAATCCGTTTGTGTGAGATTCTGTTGCCTGTAAAAATAGCTGGTGAGGGTCCAGTGCAATAGTGTAGTGGTTAAAGTGCTTGCTTTGAACGCGCTAGGATCCCATATGGGCATTGGTTTTAATCCTAGCTGCCCTGCTTCCCATCCAGCTGCCTGCTTGTGGCCTGGGAAAGCAGTGGAGGACGGCCCAAATCTTTGGGACCCTGCACCTGTGTGGAAGACCTGGAAGAGCTCCTGATTGGTTCAGCTCGAGCCATTACGGCCGCTTGGGGAGTGAACCATTGGACAGAGGATCTCCCTCTCTGTCTCTCCTCCTCTCTGTATATCTGCCTTTCCAATAAAAATAAATCTGAAACAAACAAACAAACAAAAAAAAAGCGAGCTGGTGGACAGTTTAAAAAATGTTCTAGTAGAACAAAAAAAGCAAGACATTAAAAAAAGAAAACACACAAAAAAGATGTTTTGGAAGAAGTAAAAGCAAAATTTATCTACTGTCCATCAAGTCTTGTGCTGGATCGGAATAGTTTGCTTAGCCTCATCATATATCAAATTAAACATGACTCACACATATGAATGAAATCAAGAATCATAAGGCACAGAAATGGCATGATTGATATCATTTGCAAAATTTCAGATTCTCTGATTGTAAAGTCCATACAAGTAAATGTGCCTGAGGGAGACAGCATATACATGAGGGCAGCGGCATGGCAGAGGGCTGGGCCCCTGTGATGCCAGCACCCACCAGAGGAGGGCCCATCACAGACACCCAGCGGCTCTGCTTCTGTTCCTGGGAAAGCACCCCAAGACGGTGTAAGTGATGGGGCCCTGTCACTCACAGGGTGATCAGGATGCAATTCCAGGCTCTGCGTCTTGGCCAAGCGCAATCCTTGCCATTTCAGCCATTTGGGGAATGAACCAGAAAAAAAGTCTATTCCTCTGCCATTCTTTCAAATAAATATAAAAAATCTTTTTAAAAAAATGTAGAAAGGTATATTTGTTCTGGGGCTGGGAGTGTGGCATATTGAGTAAAGTTACTCCTTGCACTGCTGGCATACTTTGTGGCTGCCGCCTTTGGTCCTGGCAGGCCCATTTCGAATGCAGCTTCCTGCTATTGGCCTGGGAAAAGCAGTGGAAGATAACGCAAGTGCTTGGGGCACTGCCACTGATCAAGGAGACTCAGACAAGGCCCTGGTTATTGAAATTATTTGGGGAAAATCTATCTCTAACTTTTTCAAATAAATCATAACTCTTAAAAAAAAAAGAGCTTATTTTAAAAATGCTTTCAATAACATGACATCGAATGATTTTACCCATCCCCTCATTAATAAATTTCATTCAGGCCATTTCTATCTTACTACTTTCCTTTAATAGCTGACCTTTTTTGTTATTGCTAAGTGCTACAACTTTTGGATGGTTAATGGAGGTTTCAATTAATGGTGGTCGCATCTCTGCCATTTTCATCTCTTCATCAGAAGAAAGTTCTTCAGATTCCTAATTTAAAGAAGGAGAAATATAAAAATTAAAATTTGATCTTTTGAATTAATAAGTATTACATTATAAAAACTTTAAAGGGCAAGAATACCAAGAACACACGTGAAAACTTGTCATGGTAATAGTGGCTAAAATTAGCACATAACCTTTTCAATATATAAAAATAAAACTACAGCAACTCTTAACAATATGCTAATATATCAAGGGGATAATTTTCTAAAGCAGACCTTAACTTTAGGCATTTGATAATTACTGTGTCCAAGAAGTATATCAAGAGTAGACAAACAAAAAGAAATCCAAGCTGAAGCCAGTGCTGTGGTTCACCAATCAGGTTAATCTTCCAGCTCCAAGTGCTGGCATTCCTTAAGAGCACCAGCTCATGGCACAGCTGCTCCACTTCCCATACACCTTCCTACTTGTGGCTTAAGAAAGCAGAAGAGCACAGCCCAAGGCCTAGTGACACTGCAGCCAGTGGGAACCTGGAGGAAGCTCCTGGCTTCACATCGGCTCACAACTAGCAGCTACAGCCATCTGGATGGAAGATCTTTTCTTCTCTGTCACTCTTGTGTGTAAGTCAGTTTTTTCAATCAAAATCAATCAATCAATCAATCAACTAATCAATCAATCTCTTTCGTTTGTTCTAAACAAGTAAGAGTCAATTCTGTTTTCAATCAGGTGCTTCAGCAAAGTCACTCCCTCAATTCCCTTAAGGATCACAAGGTTCCAAGCAGTCACAGAGTGTTGAGATGGTCAGGTAGTGAAACCAACTGATTTCTATTTGGGCCTGGAGCAACATCCTACTGGCTAAAGTTCTGCTTTGCATGTGTTGAGGTCTCATGTAGGCACCAGTTTGTGTCGTGGCTGCTCCACTTCCCATCTAGCGCCCTGCTTGTGGCCTGGGAGGGAAGTCCAAAGCCTTGGAAGCCTGCAACCACATGGGAGACTCAGAAGAGGCTCCTGGCTGCTGGCTTCAGATCAGCTCAGCTCTGGCCATTGCAGCCACTTGGGGAATGAACCAGGGGATGGAAGATCTTTTTCTCCGTCTCTCCTCTCTGCAAATCCAACTTTCAAATAAAAATACAAATCTTAAAAACAAACAAAAAACCCTAATTTCTCTTTCTACCCCATTTGAAGACATATCTTTAAAAAGTCATTCTCCATGATCTTGTCTCTAGTATTTGGGAACTGGTCCAGATTCTCTATAGTGAACGCAGATAAATAGCATGAAGTACTTGTTACTAGTAGAAAAAATTCAATCTATGCTGCATAAAAATCAAATATGAAAATAAATGATGTGCTTTTGAATTCTTTTTAAATGTTCAGAAGTGAATGCATGATGTACGGTTTTTGTAGATCAATGCTGTCCGAGAGAATGTTCTTCAGTTACAGAAGTGCTCTAATCTCTGTGGCTGTGTGTTAGCAGCAGCAACTAACTAGCCAGCTGTGCCTAGTAAACCATTTGAAGTGTGGTTAGTGTGACTGGGGAACTCCGTCTTTAACTTTACTTACTTAATTTTAGCTGAAAATGCCCACTGGTAGCTAGTAAATGAGGATAACATACAATGGTCATAGGTTTTGGGGAGTTCCTCAGTTAACACACAGAGTTGCTATATAACAGAGCAATGTTACACCCAAGAGAAATGAAAACAATGCCCACACACAAGGCTGTATCCATGTCTGAAAAAACTCCAGAGTTTGTGATGAAAGGAATCAAAAGGTAAAGTTTACTTTGAAGCAGAAGTTTTTTGAAATCCACACATGAGGAGCTTTCAAAAAGCTCAATTTTCCACAAATTTTTTGAAATATCCTGGTTTTTGATAGCCTTATTCACATTATCAACAATAATTGTAAATAACTAAAATGTACATCAAAGGATAGATACATACAAGAGAATATTATTCAGTCATAAAATGGCTGCAATGTTGATTTTCAGTACAAGACGGACAAGACGATGATGTTAGGTACACAAGGTTGTCAAAAGAACAACAGATGATTAACTGTGAGAGGCAAGGACTGTGGGATTTTCTGACCTGGTGATCAATGTCTTTGTCTTTACTTAACACACAAATACTAACTTGCAAAGTTTTACTATGACTGTTCCAGAGTTCTTCCGAAATCATACCTCAAAAACATCGTCATGGTTGACGACGGGCTTCCCGTCCTCAGAGGCCTTTATGTTGGCGCTCATTGATAAACTCCCAGGATTCACCTCGGCTTCTGGTTCACTGATCTTCAAAACAGAATTCCCTATCATAAACTTTTCTTTTTCATCAGCTTTGCTTTTTACTGGAGAAGTACATTCTGAAGTCTAAATAAAACAAACATGCATTAGTTCTTACATCAATTTTTTGTATTCGAGTTTACATAGAAATTCACAAACAACTTGTCAGCTTCCAATTGTAGACAAATCTTAAAATCCCCATTTGAGGAACAAGTGGCCCTCGAAGACACAGGTACCACAGTGTAATTCATAATTGAGCTATGGCCACTCTTTCCCTAAAAGCTGCAAGGCTACTATGGCTGAGTGAGTCACTTGGCAAGCTCAATACTGATGCTCACTGCAGCATGTGGAGCAACTGTAAACACCTGGTAAAAAAAAATTTTTTTTCACAGTTACATATGGAATTAAAATTGGATACAGTGGATCAACATTCCTGGAGGGCAAAAAAACTATTTTCCTAATAATCACTTTTTAAAAAAATTTATTTATTTTAATAATCTTAGTTGATTAGGGTACAAAGCGTCCAGGGCTACAGGGCGAAAGTGGGTAATAGCATTGTTTCCACGCTAATATTATCATTTTTCCCTGTATCTGGGGTTAGGGAAGTAACAAAGGGAAAAGCCCCACCCAACCTCCCACCCATCCTAATAATCACTTTCCAAACCTTTGTTATTTGATCGGTATATTAGGAAATGAATATCTGTTTATTTGAAGGCAGTTACAGTCAAACCCATCAATCCTGCGCCCACTGGTTCACTCCGTTTAGGGGCTGGCCCTGCTGAAGTTAGGATCCTGTACCTCTCACAGGGGTGGCAGCAGCCTAATCGCTCAGGCCATCTCCCACTGCCTTTCCAGGCACAGTAATAGGGAACTGGATCAGAAATGGAGCAACTGGGACTTGAGTAGGCACTCATACAGGATGCCGGCATCACAGGCAGCAGCTTAACGTACTGTACCATGAGGCTATCCGTACCACAATGATCTTTCCAGTCTAGGCTAATACTATTTTGCCACCTGTACAATCAGGGAATGGTATTAACAGTAATCAGAAAGCTCATAATTACTAAAGCTACTTGAGGAAAAAAAAACCATAAACTTCAAAATAGATTTAATGTATGTAGGAAGGATAATTTAAAATAGGCTTTGGACAATCCCTCTAAATCGAGCTTTCTAACCTTTATACTCATATCTTTATTTACAACTTGCTCATCTTCATGTGGTTTTAAATCTCTTCCAGAGTCTTCATTGGTCTCCTCATCTTTTAATCTATGTACAATGGTTTGAACAGTTTTGACCATATTCTTAAGCTCATCTGGGTATGGTGTTGGATATCTCTTCAAATTTCCCTCCTAGAGAAAGAGGAGAAAAAACAAAATATAAATATTTCCAATGTCAGTCTCAAAAAAAAATGTATGCCATAATTTTTTGGAACTATACTGAGTATGGTTTAATCACAAATCCCTGGAGACATGGGGGGTATACACCACAGGGCTGTTCCAACTCACCCGTGGGGGTGCTTCCCTTTCATCTTTGTCTTCGTCACATTCAAATGCCACCTGAGCTCGCTGTTTCCTTTGTTCCTCCCATAACGAAGGATTGAAACTTTCATTATCTGATATGAACGTAACTAGTGAAAAGCAAAACACCAAAAATATTACATTTGACTTAATGATGAAAAACCCTTGTTTCAAAAAGATTTTATATATTATCTTCAGAATAAGTCTAAGTTACAACTGGCCACAAAGAGCAGCTGTAAATCCTGGGCTAACTGCTACACTGTGGTTTTGAATTTTTATAAAGCAAATCACATTATCTTTTTTCTCTCTGCAGTGGATTTGTCTTTAGAACCTCTGTGGTTCTATCAAAGGTAGGTTTGTGAAGTATCCTGGAAGGTAATATCATAATACTATATATAAAATATAATGAATTTACATTTTTTCACCTTCCAATTCCAAAACTTCGTAAGTTGTATGGCTGAGGGTAAAGTTTGGTTACAATGAAGTATTTTCATTAAAAAACTACCTCAATACATGCCAACTTTGCATTAAACATCACATATAACATAAGATTACTAAATGCTAAGGCTTAAAAAAAATCAATTCTTTCAACTATTATACAACATTCTTTTTTTTTAAAATGATGACATCATATACTTCATGAGCACGTGATGAATTCTACTAGAGAATAGAGATTATTTGGAAGCAACCAAACTGAAATAAAACCATCAAAACATATGGGATACAGCCAAAAAACCAAACAGACAATAAAAAAAAAAAGAAAAATAATAATAATAAAAAAGAAACTGTGGTATATCTACTCCATGGAATATTATTCAGCTATTAAGAAGAATGAAATTATTCTATTTACAACCAGGTGGTCACAACTAGAGACCATTATGCTGAGTGAAATGAGTCAATCACAAAAGAACAAATACCATATATTCTCTTTCATATAAGAAAGCCAACATGGAAAGTGTAACTTCAACAGTCCAATCTATCTTGGTTTTTATTTATTTATTATACAACATTCTACACAATTCTATCACAATTCTACTCATCAAAAGAAAATGACTGTCCTACTTAAAGAGATTAAAAACACATAAATCGCTAATAAAACAAACTTCCATAACATCCAAATTATGCCAATTCAAGCATTCTGGATTACTGATAAACAATTAGAAGACTTTTTCCTGCAGGGCAGCTACTTCCACAGTGAGTCAGAATGAGTGCAGGTCAGCAAGCTAGGCTGCAGCACCAGCTGGCAATGCCAGGACTGGGTCCAAGTCATGTAAGGCTTGACTGCAGTACTCCCTGGCAGGCACAAGATCCAAGGCTGGAAATGGGTCTGGTATATGAACTGTGGGCACTCCCCTGCTAGGCTGTTCCTGTTGTTGGTGAACATGAAAACCAGGGCAGACGAGGCTGGACAAGGTGGCAACATTTGCCAGCATATGTGAGGACTTGGTCTTGGAGAGTGGTGGTGGTGGGGGGGGCAATGGAGTGGGACACGGGTGTTGAGCTGAGCTGAGCTGTAGCACCCCTGGGTATGCATGAAAGCCAGACAGGATTCAGGCTGGGCTGGGATAGGCTACAGAGGCTGGCATGACAAAAACCAGGGCTGGGGGCAGGACTGGTGGGGGTTATTAGGAGACACCCTGACTAGGCCATGGCATCAGCTGGTATGCATGAGGACTGGGTCTGTGGTAGGCTGTCAGGGTTGGGCTGCAGCACCTGTTGGTTTGCTTGAGATATGGAGCTGGGGTGGAACTGACAACTGACCAGACAGCTGCATCCATTGGTATGTGCACTGGCTGATGTGGGTAACACAGTGAACCTGACTCTGTACTGGCCGGTACACACATAAGTTAAGTCTGAGGTCACTTCATGTGAGGTTTCTTGGGGGAACTCCCCAACTAGATTGCTGATCTCAGACCCCAGTTACAGGGGAGAATCACAGGATGTGTTTTCTGACCTTGTAGTGCATGTACTGGGACTGGATCTCCTCAGCTTCTGATGCCTATGAAGCGGACAGCATGCCCAGATACGGGGGACATGACAGGCAGCTCATCTAGGCCAGCAGGGGACAGTGACTGCCTCATCAGAGAACAGAAAGCAGAACAGGTTGGAGAAATGACCTGGCCAAGTTTTGCAGCATATTCCTGGGTCTGTGGAGGCACTAAGTTGGACTATGTCAATCAATAAATCTATCTTTGAAAACATTTCTAAACTCTGGAGCAATGAAACCAACAACTTTTCAAAATAACTCAAGTAATGCTCTTTCCCATATCAGGGTCTCCGAGGCATCCTTAGACCGTCTCCCATCCCTGGGTACTCATATAGTTTGACAGAAAAGAACAGCCACCCGCGCCCCCCCACCATACACACCCATGGACCCAGGAAGAAAATAAAGTAAAGCAAAACTGAAACATTTGTCCCCCCCTACCTTTCTCCATTCCTGAACCTCCCCACCATAATCAGAGGCCCACATGGGTATGTATATCTCCCAATTACGTAAACAATATTAGACAAAGTTTAAAAGTTTTAAAAACCTCTTTAACTTCACTAAGCTAATTATTTCTTGTTCTTTTCAAGAAGGATAAAAGAGTTATTATTTCAAGAGTATACTTGATGACATTTAGGTATAGCAAAAACTGGCTAGCAGTTAAGCCAGCTCTTCTCAGCTTTTTTAAGAAGCTCTTAGCCCTAACCACCATTCTCAAGCCAGGCAGCCCTAGGAGAGCAAGTCTTGAGGAGGCGCTGACATCAGACCTGTGATGTTCACGGGCTGTGACAAGAGTCCTGTGTGCAGCCCTGAACTAGGCAGGCCCTTAACACATATCCCTCTGCCTAGTGGGGGTTGGGAGCTTTACTTTCACACAACCTGTGCAAACTGATGGGAATGCAACACGGTGTTCGGCATTTTGCCTTTAGGTACACTCTACTCACAGCTACCAGTGAACACATATGGTCTGCAGGAGCTGTATTCATCTTGTAGTGCAGCTCTGCAAACCCTGCAGCCTAGTCCCTGAAATACCTGCAGACACGATCAACGCTGATAATGACGAGACAAGTGAGGCAGACATTATGCCAACGCCCACCTGGAACTAAATCCATAGGGTATGCAACCTTCAACCTAGGACACACTGCTAACAGAAATTATTTTTGCACTGAGAAAATAATCCTGCAAAACTGGCAGCAGTAACTGACCCATGAAATGCACAAATTACCAACGTAAAAACGCAAAAAGCATGGGGGGAAAAAAGGTTTCATATAGGCCGAAAGGCACACAGTGACAAAAAAAAAAAAAAAAAAAAAACAATTAACAGAACAATTAAAAAAAAATACATAATCTTGGACCCTGCCACCATGTGGGATATAGAATGGGATACTGGTTTCGAATTTTGCCCTGGCTGACACCAGACTGTTAGCAGCCACATACTGGTGAATGCCCGAGCTTGAAGATAGAGCTTTAGAACTCCATCTTTAGGGCCCAGTTTTTAAAGAGGAACAAAGAAAGCCTTTGAGACTCATGTCAACAAGCATATACAATAGGAGTGTTCCAGAAGAAGAGAATCAAGGAAAAGGCACAAAAAAACTTATTAACAACAAAATCACTTTGAAATTTTAGAAATGGCTATTTGGGTTCAGGAAGCTCAAAGGATTCTTAACATACTCAACCCAAAATATTCTTCCTGAAACTACTACATTCAAGCTAGGGGGAAAAAAAAAGGAATTCTAAAAGTAGTTAAGAGGGGGCTGGCATGCTGGCCTTTACCTCGGGGTGTGGGCTGTCTACAGCCCGCACTGGAGTGCTGCGTGTGATCCTCAGCACCAGCGCCTGACTCTACTTCCTGCCACAGCATGCCCTACCGACGCACGCAGTGGTGACGGGTCAGTAACGGAGTTGCTACCACCCACACATGAGATTCAGGCTGCGTTGCTGGCTTTCCACATTAACCCTGGCCCAGCCTGCACGCTCTGAGCATCTGGAGAGTGCAATAGCTTGCATGTCTCTTTGCTTCTCAAAAACAAACAACAAAAAGACCCAACAATATGTTGCCTACTAGAATGCCATTTCCTCAATAAAACAAACTTCAAAAGGAAAAACCGGGAAAACATATATCATGCAAACAAACGAAAGTGAGTAGTAGTAACCACATTTACATTAAACAACATTAAATTTAATTCGCATAATGTAAAGAGAGATGAGGATGTCACCATATAATGACCAAGGGATTAAAAAATGCACTCAATTATATACAGCAAACATTATCACACCTTGAATGTGTATGGCTCCCCAACTGATATGAACTATTAAAACCTCAAAGTCATAAGCTGATGGCACTGAGAATGTGCAGGCTGGATCCACTCTGTTATGAGATTTAAGAGGCAAGCCTAGAGGGTGGCTGTTGGAGCACTTGGGAAAAGCTGTTGGAAGGTTACTCTTACGAGATGGTTGGATATAAGTGGAGGTGAGGCCGGTGCTGTGGTTCCATTGGCTAATCCTCCTCCTTCAAGTATTGGGATCCCACATGGGCTCTGGTTCATGTCTCAGCTACTCCACCTCCCACCCAGTTCCCTGCTTGTGGAATGGATCTTTCTGTCTCACCTCCTCTGTAATCCTGACTTGCAGATGGGGGACCTGGACTGAGTTTCTACCTCCTAGCTTCAGCCCTACTCTGTCCTAGCCATAGTAGTCATTTCGAAAGTAAACCAGATGACAGAAGCATTCTCCCTGTCTCTTACACACACATACATGTACATATGCACACATACAAGTAATTTTTAAAATACTGACTTATTTATTTAAAAGGCAGAATGAGGGTGAGAAAGAAATATTTCCATCCACTAGTCTAATTCCAAATGCCATAATCACTAATGCTGGGACTGGCCTAAGACAGGAGCAAAAAACTCCATCCAGATTTCCCATGTGAGTGGGGAGAGACCAAGCAATGAAGCCACCACATGCTACCACACAGGGAACATGATCAGGAAACTAGATCGGAAATGGAGGAGACAAGACTAGAACGGGCACTTCCATGTGGGACGTGGGGGTCTCAAGTAGCGGCTTAAAGGGTCACAATAGCCACCCTAAAACATTAAAACAAAACAAAAACAAAATTAAAAAAACACAAAGTGAACTGCTGGCAAGGACGTGGAGAACTCTTATTTACTGTCAGCCATATCGAGTTTTCTCAAAAAGGTGGACAAAAAAATACCTGTCAAATACCTATCAATCCCAACAGCAGGAGTACGTGCACAGGCAATGAAGTCGGTGCATTAGACGCAATCTGCACTGCTTACTTCAGCACTGCTCAGCACAGTCAACACAGGCCACCAACCTGGGTGTCCGCAGCAACATCACGGAATACTACTCAGCTGCAGAAAGCAAAGTTCTGTCATATGCACCAAAAATACATGGAACTAGAGGACATGTCATTAATTAACAACACAGGCACAAAAAAACTCAAAATACTGAAGAACTGGGCCCGATGGCATGGCTTAGTAGCTGAAGTCCTTGCCGTGAATGCGCCGGGATCCCATATGGGCGCCAGTTCTAATCCCGGCAGCTCCATTTCCCATCCAGCTCCCTGCTTGTGGCCTGGAAAAGCAGTTGAGGATAGACCAAAGCCTTGGGAGTCTGCACCAGTGTGGGAGACCCAGAAGAGGTTCCTAGATCCTGGCTTCAAATTGGGATAGCACTGGCCATTGCGCTCACTTGGGGAGTGAATCATCGGACGGAAGATCTTCCTCCCTGTCTCTCCTCCTCTCTTTATATCTGACTTTCCAATAAAAATAAAATATATCTTAAAAAAATATACTGAAGAACTGAATGGGAAGCGTGTGGGGGAGAGGGTTAGAGCAAGGATTAACACGCACAGAGGAGCAACTTCATATAAGAAATAACTCCTAATAAATCAACATCGTGGTATATTAACTATGGTGGACAATAGGCATTTACATTTAATAGCAGTTAATACAATTTTGAATGTTCCCAACGATCTATGGGTTTGATAGCTTCCCTGATCTGAGCTTTTATTTATACATATACAAAATATATACAATGCTGATGCTAAATATACTAAATATACAATGGATAAATTATACATACTAAAATGTCACAATATATGCTATAAAAACATACAATAGCTATATGTCAATTACAAAAGCAAATAAAAGTTTGAGAAAAGAAAACTAGAGTTGAAGAATTTGCTTAAGTTGTTCAGTTTATTAGAAATTAAAACCAATGATTAATTTGTATTTTTCAGTGGTTTCATAAAATAGCAGTTGATGTGGCTCACAGAGATTTTCAATGGTTTTAGAAAAATACCTAAACCTTAAGACAAACACAATAAAACGATACTAAGTGTTAATATATCACAAACATTATGCTCTCTAATCTTTATATCTCATCCTAATCCAAAGACAGTATTAGTGACCAATGGTAATTCTGCCTTAGCAGGCAAAACAAACAGAGGAGTTTCTGAGTAACCTTTAGAACCAGGATTCTTCAATTCCTTTGATCTAATGTAGAAGTCTAAGGACAGTATTACGTTTGTAACGTAAGTGTGCAAAACATTACCTGGTTAAAAGCCCAACAATGTGCATTTTTAATATTTAGCTAAATATGATTTTAACAGGAAAATCTTTAACACCTTGAGAACATCTTTAACACTTGAGAACATTTTGATCAATTCTTCAAAGTCCTATCAAATTAGAAAAGCTTATGAGACTTAAAATTCGCTTCACAGCCTTGTTTTGATTAGTCAGTATTTATGTTTAAAAAGAAAAAAAATCTTAAAATTCCTACCATCCTCAGTTCTTGGCTGCTGAGGGAACATGTAGTTAGTAAGCACCATTTTCTGAGTCTCTGAATCAGTTTCTTTTTGAAGAGGTATCAGGGGTTTGGACTAGGGAAAGAAAATAAATATTTAATTTTCAGTAACCCTGAAGCAAACAGGTACCCAGCAATTCCTCTAAATAAGTATCAATACGTAGATAACAACAAATTTAAATACACACAGCGACCACATGCTGACTTAACCTGCAGGAATAATCCCTAGTGTTCAACAGTAAAGGAAGTAATTAATAGTAAGTAACTGAATGTTTAAAAATAGCCAATATGAATTATTCTAATATATGCCTAAGGTGACAGATAACTTTGTCTAAGATTTATTTAGTCCTATTTAGAAGATGGATTTTTAGAAAGAGAAAAGGAGACAGAGCAACAGGCCTTCCATCTGCTGGTTCACTCCCCAAGCAGCTGCAAAGGCAGGAGCTGAGCTCATCTCAAGCCTGTCTCAAGAGCTTCCCCTAGTCTCCCAGTGCGGGTGCAGAGTCCCAAGGACTTGAGCCATTCTCCACTGCCTCCCCAAGTCATAAGCTGGGAATTAGATGAAAAATGGAACAGTTGGGACTCAAACCAGTGCCCATATGGGGTGCTGGTGCGGTAGGCAGAGGATTAGTCTGCAAGACACCGCTAATCTAATTTTTATATAGTGTACACATAGTGCCACAATGTATACTGTAAATGTGTTAGCACTGTGATGTTGAAAATATAAAGATCTGGTAACATCTGTGAACCATATAGAGATTAAAAAAAAAAAGTACTGGAGCCTGGCGCCACAGCATAGCATAGCATATGGGCGCTGGTTCTAATCCTGGCAGGCCCCTCTTCCCATCAGCTCCCTGCCTGTGGCCCGGGAATGCAGTTGAGGCCGGCCCAAGGCCTTGGGACCCTGCACCTGTGTGAGAAACTTGGAGGAAGCTCCTGGCTTCAGATTGGCTCAGCTCCAGCTGTTGTGGAGGCTTGGGAAACCATTGGATAGAAGATCTTCCTCTCCGTCTCTCCTCTTCTCTGTATAACCACCTTTCCAATAAAAATAAATAAATCTTTAAAAAAAAAATCGTACTTAATTTAAACTGAATTCAAGCTACACTGTAATTATCACTGAAATACTAAGCATGTTGATCAGCCCAACATTTATTTATTATACTTTTGCAAAATAGGTTTTGGAAAAATCATCTGGAATATTTAGTCTATTATCTAAAGATTTACTCTGGCTAGCAGCTAAAAAATGAGTGCTTAAAGCAATTCTCTCCTGTTTCTTGGTCCGTTAATGACACTGAATGTCACATCAGCCAGATCATGTTCCATCTTTTTTTCTTTTTTCAGACTGTTCCCTAGGTGGTTAATAATACCGTCATTCACTTCTTAATGTAATTAATTTTGTTGCCACTCTATTCACTCCCAGCAATAGTAATCCTGCTTCCAGATACCCAGTCCTCCCTCTGGGCCACCCTATCAGTCCTTTGGACCTGCACTTGTGGTTACTATCCAGCTAGCTAATTCCAAGCTATTGCTAACTTCTGACTTTTTAAGAATTTATTGATTTTCAATTTAAAAGGCATATAGCACCAAATAAACATCCACCACAGTCAAGCATGGGCCGGAGTGAATCCAAGACCCTGCAAGTCGATCTTATTTAAGCATTTTGTCTGTGTCCTCTTTGCTCTGTAACAAACTGAGCACTATCTACATTGTGAGCATTTTTCCTTTGTGTCTGCAGATAATGAATAATGAAAGCAGTCATTCTACCATTTACACAAAACCAGCTCTTCCTGAAGCTTCAAACATAGTTTGGCTATTCTCCCACACTTCACTCACCCCCTGGAGGCTGGGGGTAGCACTTCCCAGGCTGTATCATCACTTCTCTAACCCCGCTCCTGTGGTCCTATTCTTGTGAAGCATAGAAACCTTACTTCTGTATTCACTCACCTTTCCTATTATCCACTTATCTTTTTACCGCACCCATCTACAGACTGGGAATCTGTAATCCAAAAATCCAAAATGCCCCCCAAATCTGAACCTCTAGTAGCACCACAGTTTCACCAACTGAGATTTCCGTATCTGACCTCACCAGTTTGAATAAAGCAAAAATGCAGGTACACCAAAAACAGTGATTAAAACTGCTTTCCAGGTAGATAATGAACATACATGAATTTTATGCTCAGACTTGTATCCTATCCCCAGAATATTTCACTATGTTCATGCAAAAAACCCCAAACCCCTAGTACTGGTCTCAAGCATTTAGAGAAGATAAATTCAATCTCTATTCTTCACTCTTTATAAAAATTTTTTTCCTGGGCCCGGCGCCGTGGCCTAGCAGCTAAAGTCCCTCGCCTTGAACGCGCCGGGATCCCATATGGGTGCCAGTTCTAATCCCGGCAGCTCCACTTTCCATCCAGCTCCCTGCTTGTGGCCTGGGAAAGCAGTCAGGACGACCCAAAGCTTTGGGACTCTGCACCCGTGTGAGAGACCCGGAAGAAGCTCCTGGATCCTGCCTTCGGATTGGCATAGCATCGGCCGTTGCGCTCACTAGAGGAGTGAATCATCAAACGGAAGATCTTCCTCTGTCTCTCCTCCTCTCTGTGTATCTGACTTTGTAATAAAAATAAATAAATGTTAAAAAAAAAAATAAAAAATTTTTTTCCCAAAGAAAGGAAGAGAACAAAAGAGAGAAAGAAAGACAAACACAGAAATACAGAACACCCAAGGATCTACCATCTGCGGGGTTACTTGCAAATGCCTGCCACAGCCAGGGCTGAGGGCGGGCCAGGCTGAAGGTGGGAGCCAAATCTCAATCTGTGTTTCCCAAGTGGGTGGCAGGGACCTAACCACTCCAGGCATTATCTCTGTCTCCCAGTGTCGAGTCCCGATCACAGCTAGGCCTCTAACAAACCATGCACCCTGACAAGGCATGCAGGCATGCCACGTAACTTCTTAGAACAAGGAGTCAATGCCTGTCCCGTGAAAAGGCTTGAAGCCGTTAAGTGCTAGAATACGAATAAAGGATTATTTGTTACGTTGTAGCTCAGAATGGAATCCACATGATAAAGGATTAAACAGTGCTGGTAAGGATGGAGGCATCTCTGCAGTCTAAGTCAGCGCTATCCAACTACACGTTACTGAACTATGTATCGCAGAACCACAATGTGAGGCAAAAGTGATAATCGGCGCTTTCTAGTAGCCTCATATCTTCAAAAGGCAAGAGATGAGATTTTGATAATGCATTAAATTTAATTTTAAATGTATTTAAATGTAATTAAACAGGTAAACCTACAATAACACTTACGAATGTTAATAATTCACTTTTGTTTACACAAAACTATTAAGTTGCAGTGTATATTTTATCCTTAGACCATACTCGGTTTTGACCAGTCTCATGACACTAGTGGCTGCTCTACTGGAAAGTGCAAGTTAAAATGACAGGGAAGATGACAGGGAAGGGGCTGTGGGAATAAAAGTAAAGCACGCAAACATCTGGATATTCAACAGTTTGGCAGTGAATCGAAATATACAGAAAACCACAACCATCAGACACTTTTTGTTGAGCTAAAGAATCTACTACGGTGAGGAATGGAAAAATGTTTGAGGCAGAAGGTGGTTTTAGTCGGCTTGAACTTCAGACATTTAGGAAGCAATGTTAACTTGGCAATGATCCATATGAATATGAAAGTCAGACACAGATACTGCTAGGAATAATGAGAGAACATATTTTTGGGGGGGTTCAGGGGAAAGTATAAGTAAACAAGAGCAGAGCCTAGAATACATGAAGAGCTCCAACCAATAAGACACTGGTCAAAGTAGTGCCTGGAAAGCATACTGGAGTAACAGGGGACAACCAGGAGAGCAAAACTGACAGCAAAGCAGCTCTCCCTTCAGTTACCACCATAAGCCTTGCAGTTACACTGTCAGTCCCTGGAGTTCTCAACATTCTCTGCATCGTCTGCTCTTGCCTTTGCCTTCATTCTTGCTGTATACTCTATCTTATTTCAAGCACAGTCAATGACCAAGATCTGATGCATCTTTCTCTTGTAGATTGGCATGACAAAGCTGTAGCTCAAAGTCATTTCAATTTTGTCCTCTCAATGCTACATAACTGATAAGTACAACCACAAAAGAAAACCAGTAATACTTCCATAGAGTACTAAACTCATTCTACATTTCTTAAATTTTATTCTGAATACTTTAAGAAATATTCCCCAAAATAATTCATAAGCAGCTACAAGCATGCAAAATGCTACACTAATTATAGCACCACTGCCAAATAGCTTCTTCTCAACGGTCTCTATGCTTTCTTATGTTACGAGATCCCTGCTTAACTTGGCCCTAAACACTATTTTATCTGTATTCCACATCTGTTCCTTGTCATCAGACCAAGAACACAGTAGTCAAATCACATGGCTCAATTCAGTCACCTAGTTATTTCTTAAACAACTTCAATTTAATTTTCAAAGTATACATCTAGAATTACTTCAGCCTAGTTAATTTAAGTTAAAAAAAGTTGCCAAATATAATGAATATCTTTCGTATTTCATCGGACATCTCAGAAGCATTTGCAGCTTTGGTTACACATCTATGGCTGCTCTCTTCAAGTGCACTAATCCAGCTGCCACTTAAATGTTATCCTCAAGATACGTCCATCCCTAACATTTCAAAAGTTTTTCACACTATCACTACCGATAAAATAATAAAAGCTATTAAACTATTCTCCAGTAGAAGTTATTAAGACAACGGGGCCAGGACCAGTGCTGTGGCACATTAAAGCACTGCCTTTAACGCTGGCAGCCTGGAAAGTGCTGGTTCAGGTCCCTGCCATTCCACCTCATCTAGCTATTTGCTAACGCACCTGGGAAAAGCATCAGAGGTTGCTCCAAGTGCTTGGTCAAAGACCTGGTTGGAGTTCCAGGCTCCTGACTGTGGCATGGCCCAGCCCTGGCCAGTGCAGCCATTTTCCTCCTAACTCTGCTTTTCAATTGAAATTTAAAAAAATATATGTTTAATGGAGTCAACATTTTCGCATAAATTATTTCTTTTCCCGTGATTCCCTTTCTTGCTAATGACAGATTTCAGTCACCCAAGCCAATTTTCTGACACTCATCTTTCTTTCACTCTTTCTTGTCATATACACGCATCATTCATATGCTTCATTGATGAGACCTTTTAACTGATTATACCAATACCTGCTCTTTCCTGGCCCTGTATATCATTATGTTAGATCAAGCCAACATTTTCTGCCTCTTGTAGTATTGGCAACATCCTACAATTCACACCTGCCTTCATGCTTGGGCACTACTTCTCTTCTATTAAGCGCATCTTTCACACTACAGCCAAATGCCTTTCAAAAACATCAATCTGGGCCCGGCACGGTGGCGCAGAGGACCTGGTTAAGGTCCTCGCCTTGCACACCCAGGATCCCATATGGGTGCCGGTTCTATCTCGGCAGCCCCGCTTCCCTTCCAGCTCCCTGCTTGTGGCCCGGGAAAGCAGTTGAGGACGGCCCAAAGCTTTGGGACCCTGGACCTGCATGGGAGACCTGGAAGAGTCTCCTGGCTTCGGATCGGCATAGCATTGGCTGTTGCGCTCACTTGGGGAGTGAATCATCGGACGGAAGATCTTCCTCTCTGTCTCTCCTCCTCTCTGTATATCCACCTTTCCAATAAAAACAAAAATAAAACAAAAAACAAAAACAAAACAAAAACAAAAACATCAATCTGATCAACACTTTGCATGTTCAATTTTGAGACTGGTTCCCACAGCCTACAATTATCATAACAATTACTTCTTCCTCTTATTCTAACAGCAGATATAACTAACTGAGCACACACATACATTTTATACATGTTGCTCTGATGTAACTGTCAACGGAGGCCCGGGTCTCTGCAATCACAATGACCCATGTGTAGAGCTGCACTGCAGATAACTGCTCAAGCTCAGGGTGTTCCTCCTAGTTCAAGCACTGCGGCCCTTTGTTCCAGTCTTCCTTCCCTTTCAGAGACAGTCAGGCATCGACTGCAGGAATTTCCTGATCTGAAGTATATGTCCCAGTTATCTGGGAATCTCAAAGTCTAATCCTAGTTTTTTTAATATACTATATTACATTAAACTGTCTTTCTAAATACCACTGTTTCCTTCATCTCACATGGGTAGGCACACAGTAGTAATTCAAGAAATGGTGAGAATCACAAAATGAATAAAGAATAAATTAATAATTCTTCTACTTATGCCTCCAGAGACTCAAGTTACTATATATACTGTAGAGACTGAGACATTTTCATAATTCATAATCAAACTTCCTCTGCATATTTTCAACTCCACACTTTGCATTTTTACAGGAAAATTAAGGTTTCCTACTAATAATGGTCATCAGTCATATCTGGAATGTTTTACTAAATACTTTTTTGAGAAAGAGCTTACCAATTTCTGGTCTAACATAATTACCAAGAGGAAAATGGGGGGAAAATGAAAGAACACCAAATCAGAAGAAATTACAGCACAATTTCACTAACATGAGCCAGGCAGCCTAATTTGGCACCTTTAATCTGTCCACAGGAGCGTTAAAAATAAAAAAATCTTTATTTTAAAAAAGTGTTATTGTACCAATTTAGTCTGGAAGTTTCTCAAGACCAGGACCTAAGCTTCTTTCACACTTTAGTTAAAAAATGGCTTAAAGGGGCTGACACAGTGAAGTAGCAAAGTAATCTTCCATCTGCGATCGCAGCATCCCACATGGGCACTGGTTCAGGTCCCAGCTGGTTCACTGCTGATCACCTGGGAAAGCAGTGGAGGACAGCCAGAAGCCTTCCGGGCCTCGGCCCTGTGGGGGCTTCAGAAGAAGCCCCTGCTTTGGATTTTAGACCAGCTCAGCTTCTGCTGTTGCAGTGACTTGGGGAGTGAACTATTGATGGAAGTGTGTTCTCTTGTTCCTGGCTCCCATCTCTCCTTTGGTCAATGTGCCTTTCACAGTATATATATATATAAATCTTAAAAAGAAAATGGCTTAAAATAGGTACGTAACAAAGGTTTTCTGAAATGAGTTATAAAATTGCAAGTTTAAATCTTACATAGCAGAAGTAAGAAAGAATGCAACAAATAATATATCCTAATCACCAGAGTTTACATTTTAATTATAAAGCAAATATCATTATTTTAATATTTCTTACCAAATTTACAAACTAGTTTACACAAAATTACATGAGTTAATACTAGTCTGATTTACAACTATTCATTGAGATCAATTTAACATCTTTAGGGAATCAGTATCAGTTAGGTGAAAAAGATGCCTCAGTAAAAGACTGGAGAATTCTCAAATACAGATAAATGGGTTTCTTTACCATGGCAATAACTCAGTAATCCAAAAGAACTATATGAGAGTTTCTAAGCAAATGTGGATATCCATCTTAGTGAAAATACATATCCTTAGACAAATACAGTTGCTCAAATTTTGTACATTTTATTTTGAAAAAGTCATCAAGAATTCTTGCACATGACAGGAATGTAAATTAGTAATCACTAAGAAAAACAATATGCAAATTTTAAAAAATGAAATAGAACTCCCATGTGATTTAGCAATTCCAATACTGAAAGTTTATCCAAAGGCAATGTATATTAAAGAGCTACCTAGACTCTCATACTCGATGCAGCATTAATAACTATCAAACAATAAATGGATAAAGAAATGTGTGTGTGTATACACATATATGTGGGTATGCAGTGAAATATCAAGTCTTTAAGAAGATGGAAATCATGTAATTTGCAACACAGTGGATAGACCTACAGGACATTAAGTGAAACAATCCAGGAAAAGAAAGCCAAATATTCCATCATCTTATTTATATGTGGATTCTAATAAAGGTGATTTCACAGAAACATTAAGTACAATGGCAGCTACCAGGAGTTGGTGTGGAATGAAGGGTAAACTAGGGCATGTTGGTGAAAGGGTAGAACATTTCTACTATACTGAATGTTAAAGCTCAAGAGAGCTCTTATGCAGCAAGGTGACTATACAGGTTAACTGCTGAGAGTATATTTAAAATTTGTTCCACCACAAAAAGTGACAAATATGAGACTGCTATTAAAATTTGAGGGCTATCAAATATGATTTGCTAATCTACGTATTTTTAACAGATTTAGAAGAAATGAAGATTTAGATCGACTTTACAAAAACTACTTTCTAAGACTTTCATTACAAATAAGAGAGATCTCAAATGATTTCCGGAAAAATGTAATCAAAAGAGGAAAAGAAAAAATTTAAACCTTACATCTCAATATAAATTCCATCAAATTCAAGACATATTACTTTTGCAAGTGATGAAAATAACCAGCCATTTAGTGCATCTCTAAGGAAATGAGTAATAGAAATGTAACCATGTTAATACAGCTACTGAAGAAAAATGTGTCAGGAGGAAGTTCCCTTCCACACGGGTCCCAAGAGAACCCTCACAACGCTGCTGGCCCGACGTGAGCGCCTGGAGCCCTGTTGCAGTGGAGGACGCTCGACTCTGCCGAGGCACTTTATCATCAACAGCTTCTACATCTCAAAATCCTCTCCAACAGTCGATGCATCATTTTTTTGGCCATCTAAGCGTCAGCAGCTTCCGATGACTCTGCCCTTAACCGGGCTGCTCTGGCATGGACTCAGCCCCCTCCACCTCCTGCTAGGACCGCTACGACCCGGCTTTGTCCCAAGCATAGTACTGGCAAAGCGCTATTTCTCTGTTAGAATTCTTCCAAGAAATGCACTAGAATCTTGATATCACTTGTTCAGAAATTCCATTGAAAGCTTTGTTCTTTGTCTGCAACTGGAGAGAAAGCTTTGACACCAAGAACTGCTCCACTTCAATTTTTCAGTCAGAATTGTTGAAACCAAGACAACTGAGCTATATATGGCATTGGTATACTTGTTTCTTCTGTTAACTGTTAACTATTGATCTCTTTCCATTACAGCACAAAACTAACTTGTTCCTCATAAATTGATATGGGTGGTCTGTCATTACAGTACTGTCTAATCTCTACCTAGAACAAGCTACCCATTTCTACACGGATTTCTTCCTCTACGACACTGTCCCCAGACATTTTTCGTAGAGCATCAACAATTCACACTTCTTCCACCCAGCCTTGACCATCAATTTCAAGTCTGTCATTGCTTCAATTTTATCACAATTCATGTCTTGTCCTATTAGTGCCTCAAACCAGATCCTGTTCAGCTATGTTATAAAAAACTAGTGTGAGTTTATTTCAGAGCAAAAAAGAAAAAAATTGAAGTTTGTGTAGAGTTTTTTTCAGAATACATGTTTTCCATGAATTCTCTGAAGATCTTTCACACATAACACAGCAATATGTACCAGTGTGCAGCTGCTCTTACACGACCCAACATAAATTACGGTGCCCAATTACATAACACAAATGGAATTAAAGTAATTTACAAAATCAGAATACCCACCTGATTATCTGAGAGCCACATAGCAGTTAACTGCTGTAGTTTTGTAAAGCTAAAGGGCAAATTCTTTAACCTGCAGGAAAATAAAAAAAAAATAGTAATGAATTGTAAAATCAATGGGAGCTAAATCTAATTAGTGGTCTAAATAAAGCTACAAAGTTGCATTTGAAACTGGGATAAAAAAAAGAGAGAGAGAGAAGAAAAGTCCGATATAAGCATTTATATGGATATAAGACAAAATAGAATCTACTCTTAAAATCTAATTTCACCAAAGAAATCTTCATTCAAACCAATCCAGTGGGCATGAAAATGTGACTTGCTCCTGGCTTCTGGTAAAGTAAGTACATGGCCAAAGCCTTGGGACCCTGCACTCACATGAAGACCCAGAAGCTCCAGCCATTGCAGCCATTTGCCATTTGGAGAACTAACCAGTGGTCTGAGGATCTTTCTGTCTTTCCTTCTCACCATAAATCTGATGTGCCTTTTCATTATGAATACATATATTCTTAAAAAAAAGAAAGAAAGAAAGTGCTCTTATCTTAGAGAAAGACAAGAAGGCATTAGGGTGTCTTGTAAATGGTTTTAGCTCTTGGTTTGTATTCAGAGGGAACAAACTGTTACAAAAAGCACTCTCAGGGACCATTATACACATCGTACTGCTCTGCATTTATCTGAGCTAGTACTTACAGAAACAAAGACTATTCTAAGACAAGGAGTAAAAACAAAATAACAAATAATCATCTAACGCTAAATTAAACAGTACTCTATTTAATACCTTGTACCTATAGTCTTCAGTGTGTATCAACACAATTTGTCAGTAAGAAGTATAAACAAAAATTTATCAGTAAGAAAACAGCGGCTTCTTAAAGTAATATTTAGCAGTCAAAATACTGCAGTAAGAAAACTTGGTTTAAATGAAAACTCTACCATGCAAGCTATGGGAGTCCTGAATTTCTCCTAGGTAACGTGGGCATACCTGCTGTATTATTAAATAGCGTCGTTTTGAAGACTTGGTTAAGAGACTATAAAAATACAAAGGAGAAACACTAGACAAATACAGTTGTGTCATCACCAGTTATTCCTATGGAAGAAGTATGTGTTCCATTAGTACCTTACAGTATTGTTTAATTTAGCATCCCTGGCCATCATTTTGCTCTCTACGTGGTTTTGCTTTGCTGCCTAAACTACGTGAGTGAGAAGTAAAAGCAATGGGTTAGATGCAAAAGCTACTTTTTGAAGATTATACTTTTTTCTTGCATAAAAAAGACCATTATGTGGAGAGAATAAGTTTTAATACTAAGTGTACCTAAACGAACAGTGACAACTATAGTGTGATAATTCTCATCATATAAATTAGCTCATTCTACGAAACAAATGCATATTTTAAAAGAATTGGGGTGGGCACGGTGGTGGAACAGGATAATCCTCTTGCTGTGGTGTCAGGTTCCATATGTACAGTGTGTCTAGTCCTGGCTGCTCCACTTCTGACCCAGTTCCCTGCTAGCGGCCTGGGAGAGCAGCACAGGATGGCCCAGCGTCCTGGGTCCCTGCACCCACGTGCTCCAGAGCTCCTGGCTCACAGCCTCAGATCATCACATCTCTGGCTTTTGTAACCAATTGGGGAACGAACCAGCAGATCAAAGACTTATGTCTGTCTCTCTGTTTCACGTTTTCAAGGAAAATAAATCTTAATAACAAAAAAAAAAAAGGCATAAACTATTCTGTCACAAATCACAGTTAACTTTTATTTCACTGTATCAATGTTTTCTATAAAGCTATGGATAAATATAGAATGAACAAACCTATTGTCACTTAAATTAATGACTTTTAATTTCTGCATATCACCCATTTCCTCTGGAAGTAGCTCAAGTTTATTAGAATGGAGAAACAACACAGTTATATTTTTCCAGTTTCCAATCTGAAAAGGAAAAGACAAATTAGCAGGTCAAAAATTTCATTTATAGGGTTAATCAACACATGAATCATATCATTTTTGGAAACCATTAAAATACTCTTCATATTTATATAAACAATAATGCTATTCCTCCCTTTCTTAATGGTTAGTTTTCAACTACAAAGGAAAGTATGTCTTTTTTCCAAATCGACATAACTTGTTATACTTTTAAGATAAAATAATTTAGAAGAAAACAAATGAGCCGTTCCCCACCCGCAGGTCCGTTCCCCACCCGCAGGTGCGTTCCCCACCCGCAGGTGCGAGGCAGCTGGGAAGCTGGGTGTGGCTTTTCCCCGTTGTCTGCTCCCTATCCCCCAGATACAGAAAGAGGGAAAAGAAAATGTGGAAACAAAGGTCTCGCCCATTTTCCCCCAATCCTAGATCCTTCCCACCCTAACCAACTACGTAAGCATCACCAAAAATAAAACCTAAAGGAAAAAAAAAGCAAGAACTAGATTACATCATATAAGATAGCCTATAATAAAGATAATTAGAAAAAAGGAAAGCTAAAAATCCAAAACAAACGTAAGCTCTCTACCTCCGGGGGTAACTGCTGTAAGTAATTGTGATCTGCAGCAAAAGTTCTCATGTTAGTGAGCTGTCCAATAGACGAAGGCAAAGCTTCAACTTCATTGAAACTACAATCCAGTTCTTCTATTGATATCAACCTGTAATTGAAAACAGAATACACACATTACAAAAAATGTTTCCTTTATATATCCTAAAATATGAGAACATATAAACAAACATCTGAACTTGACTAACCTAGTGAAATTTAACAGACCTATACTTCACCAAATACAGGCTAGGGCCAGCAATGTGTTATTCTAGGAGGGTTAGCCCTCCGCCATCCCACAGGAGTGCCATTTTGAGTCCTGGCCACTCTTCCTACTACGGCTTCCTGCTAATGTACCTGGGAAGCGAGTGGCACATGGTCTGAGTAACAGGGCGGAGTTCCTGCTTCCTTGGGTCAGCCTGAGGCAGTCCTGGCTGCTGTGCCCAATAGGGGAGTAAATCAGCAGATATATCCTTCTCTTAATCTCTCCTTCTGTCTCTGGCACTACACTTTTAAATAACTAAATCAAATACATAAACAATTATTCTATTTGTGGGATCTATATAAGCCATCCATGTGAATATCTGAATAAGCATGTTGAAATCAAAGCTTACCCTCCTATTGAGTCTGGTAAATACATTAACTGGTTTTCATCTATTTTGAGAGTTGTTACATTCTTCAATGAACCTATTGAGAGAAAACATGTAATTTTTCAGCTAAAACCACAAGCCTGATAGCAATTAATGTAAGACATTTTATTGATCTATAAATTATAAAGAATCATCTTAATCAACAAAATTGAGACACTATCCCCAAAACCATTCACTCTATACTTCCCTAAATTTATTTTCAATTTTCACTCACATTATCAACGAATACATTATAGAATTATTAACCACCACGGAAATGTGAGCTTCCTGGGAGTAAGGAGCTTTGGTCCTTGGTCTGTGCTGGTCGCTCTTGTAACCCTGCTCCTAAAAATATATACAGTATGGAGAACACATACAAGAAAAACTTGCTATCACAGAGGATCTAAAAAATGACTTAATGCAAGCAGTTCATATGGGTATGTGGAATATTCTATATATATTAAATACTAAAACAACAAAATACATTTTAATCTAAAAATATTTATCTAAATATATTTTAATCTAAAACCAAACTGATCAACCACCCCAGCCAAGTGCTGGCAGTGAAAATCAGGGCAAGTAGAGACGCGAAGGTGGAGTATGTCAGCCAGTGGGGTCTGAAGAGACTTCATCATGCCTGCAATGGCAAGATGGGCAGCAAGTCACAACAGCCGAACCATTGAAACCTCTTGAGAAGTGCCCTCCAAGCAAGGCCCCATCAGGGACCCTGGGATGCCTGGGGGGGGGGGGGGGGGGTGCGGCTACACACTTTCCTAATCAACTATGACCCTTTCAGCCCTAATCTACTATGTAAAGACCATCAAACAAACAAAAAGCCAAAATAAAGCTTTGATTAAATCAGGGTAGGGTAAAGCTTGGTGGGTTTGTGAAATATACCTTAGGTAAAATATCTAGGAAATCCAACAGAAGACAATGTTTTGATTTTAAGTAAAATATCATGAAGACGCCAGGATTAAAATGGCTGATCTTTCCATCAAACTAGTTCCATTCTGGGGGATCTGGGCTAGTAGTAAAGATGTTGCTGGGTAGAACACCTGCCTCTGACTCCTACTCCACCTTCCTACCTTGTAACAAATTTAGAAAATGGAGATCAGATGGAATAAAGTCTTGTACCTACTTTATTACAAATTACATTAGTTTAGGGCCTGGCGCAGTTGCCTAGTGGCTAAAGTCCTCGCATTGCACAAGCCAGGATCTAATATGGGCATCAGTCCATGTACCGGTGGCCCTGCTTCCCATGCTTCCCATCCAGCTCCCTGCTTGCAGCCTGGGAAAGCAGTCGAGGATGGCCCAGAATCTTGGAACCCTGCACCTAATGTGGGAGACCTGGAAGAGATTCCTCCCTGGCTTTGGATGGGCGCAGCTCTGGCCGTTGTGGTCGCTTGGGCAGTGAATCAGCAGATGGAAGACCTTCCTCTCTGTCTCTCCTTCTCTCTGTAAATCCGACTTCTCAAAAACAATTTATAAAAGAATGACATGACTTTGAAGGCAATACTAACCAATCGTCTCAGGCAGTTGCTGAAGTGAATTGCTGGATAACAGGAGGTCCTGAAGGCTCTCACATGCAGAAATTCCTTCTTCAATCATTTCAATATTATTTTTTGAAACATCCAAATACGTGAGTTGTTTCAAACTACCAAGAAACTGTAAGAGATAAAGAAAATATAGTAACTGAATTAACATCAATCAAGCTGTAAAAAGTTGAGATATCCAGTCTAATATCAAGTTTTCACTCATAATTAAATGCTAATATGAGAAAAACTACTTAGAAAATGTTTCCAAATGCTAGCTGACAGAAGAGTCAGGCTGGCACAAAGGCCTAGCAAACTAAACCTCCGCTTGCAGTGCCAGCAAGCCATATGGGCACCAGTGCCAGCTGCCCCACCTATCTGGCTCCTACTCATGGCTTGAGAAAGCAACGGGGGAAGGCCCAAAGGTTTGGTCCTCCACCCATGTGGGAGACTCTGAAAAAGCTCCTGGCTCCTGGCTTCAAACTAGCTCAGACCTGGTGAATGAATCAGCAAATAGAACATCTGTCTCTACCCTTCTGTCAAAAATTCTTTCAAGTGAATAACTATTTTTTTTAAATAACAAAACAAGTCATAGAACTCTCATTCATTTCAACCTAGGGAGGGGCACCAGCTGCTTATGTCCTCTTGTGGGTATGGGAGTGTTTTTGTGGGGTCTTTAGATGTAGAAACATGTGATTTGTGAGCCTGTAAGACAGAAAGTCAATGGAAAACACTCAAAAGTTCACAATTTCCTGGGAAAACTGAATCTGCATAGAAATTCGGTAAATACATCTGATGACATGTTCCACGGCATCAAAAAACTACAAGAAAAGCCACTGTGGCATAGCGCATTAAGCCATTGCTTGGGAAACCCCTCCCGTGGCAGAGCACCCTGTTGTAGTACGGTTACTCCAGCTTCCCCTGCAGCTGCAGCTCACGCATTTGGGGGGGCAGCAAGCACCGCCCAGCGCCTGGGTTCCTGCTACTCCGGGGATGTAGCTGCCGATCTCAGCCCCCCGGCTCTGACCTGGCCTACCTGCAGCAGTTCTGAGCACCTGGGGAGTGGACACGTGAACAGAAGGCATCTCTCTGTCAGTCTGCCTTCCAAACACCTAAACTTTATTTTAAAACACACACTCCCATAGGGTGGCCATCGCAGCACAGCATGTCAGTTACTGCGGGGGCGGGAGGGGTGCCGACACCACACTGGAGTGCTGGTCCAGTCCTGGCTGCTCCATTTGTAATCAAGCGTCCTGCTGCTGAGACAGGGAAGGTGACGGCTCTGGGTCTGCGCCCCTGGCCCCGGCCTAGCTACTGCGGGCACGGGAGGGGTCTGCGCCCCTGGCCTCGGCCTAGCTACTGCGGGCACGGGAGGGGTCCGCGCCCCTGGCCTCGGCCTAGCTACTGCGGGCATGGGAGGGGTCCGCGCCCCTGGCCTCGGCCTAGCTACTGCGGGCACGGGAGGGGTCCGCGCCCCTGGCCTCGGCCTAGCTACTGCGGGCACGGGACGATAACTCGCTCTCTGTGACTTTTTCCCTTTTTTTGGCCTTTCAAATAAATAAACATTTAAAAAGGAACTATCTCACACTAAAGTTTCTAATGAGAATTTGGAGATTTCAATAAAAATGTGCTCTAATTTTTAAAAAGTATAATTTGCCTCTCCATAAAATTTCTTCCCTATTTAAAACTAATTTTGAAATACACAACTTGTAAAACTTAAAAGGAGAAACAGAAGTGAAGCCATTAAAAATTTCATACACATACCCCTGGAATAAAACTCAGTCTGTTACCATCCATCCAGAATTCTTTCAATCCACTTAGTTGCTCAAGAACTTCAGGCTGTTTGGACAGAGGAGGAAGCCCAATTAATTTACATGAATGCCTCGAATTGGCAACAGAAGCTCTGGGAATCTCTAACAAGCTTGGTTTCAATACATCCAATAAAAGGGTAGTGGGTAAGCAAAGCCAGAATATAAGCCTTCCCATTCATCGTAATTATAAATAACAGCATTAAGTAAGAAAGCAAATCTAGACATTTAATAAAAGCAGATTACATTAAACTCATATAAGCTTAAATTACACAACAGGGTTAAATATTTCTGCAATTAATTTATGTAAAGATTTATTTATTTTTATTTATTTATTTTTATTTTTTATTTATTTATTTATTTTTATTTATTTATATTATTTTATTTTTATTGGATGGAAGATCTTCCATCCAATGGTTCACTCCCCAAGTGACCATAACGGCTGGAGCAGAGCCAATCCGAAGCCAGGAGCCAGGAGCTCTTCTGGGTCTCCCACACAGGTGTAGGGTCCTAAAGCTTTGGGCCGTCTTTGACTGCTTTCCCAGGCCACAAGAGGGAGCTGGATGGAAAGTAGGGCTGCTGTGATTAGATCCGGTGACCATATGGGAATCCCAGAGCATTCAAACTGAGGACTTTAACTACTATGCTATCATACCGGGCCCTATGCAATTAATTTTTTAAAAGTCTCACAACTAGCAAATATACAAGAAATATATTCTCATTTATTATCAAAAAATGAAAAAATGTATCTTTTAAAAATATTAGGAAAATAGTGGCCGGTGTGATAGCCTAGTGGCTGAAGTCTTGTACGTGCCAGCATCCCCTATTGGCACTGGTTCTAATGTTGGCAGCCCCACTCCCATTCCAGCTCCCTGCTTGAGGCCTGGGAAAGCAATTGAGGACAGCCTAAAGCGCTGGGACCCTGTACCCATGCGGGAGACCCAGAATAGGTTCCAGGCTCCTGGCTTTGGATAGGTGCAGCTCCAGCCATTGTGATTGCTTGGGGAATGAATCAGCAGACAGAAGATCTTCCTGTCTGTCTCTCCTCTGTGTATCCGACTTTCCAATAAAAATGAATAAATCTTAAAAAAAAAATAGAAAAATAAATCAGAAAGACATTTCTTGGTGACATTTATAAAAAATAAAAGCCACACACATTTGGAATGTCCAATCACAGGGAAAGGCAGAACCACATGATAACAATACAAGCAATACAATCTCTAAGCATCAGAAGACTGTTAATAATAACTAAAAATTAATCCAAGTGTTTCGGTAAAATGTTGGAAGTCAGGCAAAATTCTCCCTTTTGGTATGCCTTCAGGGTGAAGATCCAAATGACTCCAAGCTAGTATCTGTCCCGGAACAAACCCACGGCAGTCAACAGTCACGGAGATGCAACAGGCCACCCTCTGTCCAGCCACCACAGCAACAGGAACGTTTATGATCAGATTGATGATCAACACACAACTACAGGTAGGAATTCCAGAAATACCTTGGATTAAAAGGAACTTTTTTTTGGTGCTTTATTGTACTTCTATCAATAAGTTATTCAAAAGTTGTGTAACTTTGGAAGGCTAAATTGGTAGAAAAGTTGTGACTCTGAAAGCTTGCTAGATTCATCAAATTAGCAATTACTGAAACTTTGTACATAAAATGGAATAGAACAATGTATAAAACAAATATTGAAAAAAGTACAATAGTAATAATTTAGGAAGCAAAGAATGTAGTTTATACCGTGCAATAAAATTCCCCAAACACACCCAACTCAACAAACTGCTTGCATAGTCCTATCCTTATGTACTCTCATCATCCACTCAGCACACAGAACATAAGCACAGTAAGACATCGCACTCAATGGCTCCATCAGCTGTGAAGTATCGTACCACGGAATGAATTAGGCCATGTCACAGGGAGCTATTCTGAATGGGCTCTGTTTTATCTACGCTGAAATCCAGACTGATTATTTTTCAACTGGAAACCCCCAAAATGTCTACTTCTAATGCTAAAAAAACAATTAGGTGTCTCTTTCATAGACACCTCGTTAATTTAACATTTCATCACCATTTCTGCTATATTTTGCTGCCTAGTTTTTCTGTCTGCATTTCTGGTTAAGAACTTCGCAATCCTCTCTTTAATACAGCATCCTTTCATCCAATTCTTATGAGAAATATGAGGAGGTATCTTATAAAGTTTGTGAAAAATGAAATTAGAAAATAATCATGTATGGATTTAAAAAAACTCACAGACCAGACAGAAAAATTATATTTGAATTCCATTTCCACGAACTTTCTGAAGTGCTTTCATATCATAATGTTCACATTTGTCCTCAATTAAATATAAACCTAAACTGGATTGATCAACTTACCACTTCTGTGAATTCATTACTTCCTAAATCCAGTCTTTCCAGCTGGGTCAGTCTATTCATAGTTCTATGTACAATGAAGAAAAATCAAAGAATTAATTATATAGCAATATAAATCACAAAGAAGCTTTAAAGTTTCATAGCTTAAAACATTCTTTTGTACTATATAATAATAATAAGACTATATGAAAGCTTTCACATATAAATTCAAAATATAAAAGCATTCATTTTCTAAGAACAGTAAGAAAAGCTGAATTCAATTTCTAGACAAAATTAACTGGCAATTATCCCTTATTTCAGGTTTCTCTTTAGCCTTTGCATTTTTATTGGTAAGTAGCTGGGACAGTGGATACTCTGAGGTGGATTATGTCAGCCAGTGGACCTTGGAAAGATTTCCTCATCCTTAGAGCAATGAAAGCTTCCTAACTCAGAGAAAACAGAATCAATATCTTCACCTTTTGACCCATCAATTTCTTTCTCTTTTTTAAAAAGTTTTATTTATTTATTTATTTATTTTTTATTGGGAAGTCAGAATTACAGAGAGGGAGAAACAGAGAAAGATCTTCCATCTACTGGCTCAATCCCCAAGTATCCCAAATTGCTGGGAAAAACCCGATTCAAAGCCAGGTTCCAAGAGATTCTTCTGGGTCTCCCATGCAGGTGCAGGGCCCCAAGGCTTTGGGCCATCCTTGACTGCTTCCCCAGGCTACAGGCAGGGAGTTGGATGGGAAGTGGGGCTGCCGGGACTCGAACTGGCGTCCATATGGGATGCTGGTGCTGCCAGGCAGAGGATTAGCCGGTAGAGCCATGGTGTTGGCCCGAGGCATGGCTCCTTGATGTTACCTTAATATGAAGGGATTATTTACCCAATTTCTAATATGCATTATACTAGAAAACCTGTTACTAAGTTATCAGGCTCCATAGAAAGAGCGTATGAACTGCTCTAACAGGATCTCTATTTGGGACTCGGGTGGGGAGAGGGCATATTCTATTGATTTTCATGAGAGAAAAGCCTATCTAATTGACAGCTATGGAATTACTTTTAATGCAATACGATATTACACACCAACAATAGATAGATCCATTTTTAATAATTAACACTATTGATTGTAATAAAATGACAGCAAATGTTAGTTCTTACAAATGACTGGTGGTCACATTTCAGATCATAAACTTTACTTACTTAGGCAACATTTTCAACTGGTTTTCTCTGAGTTCTAATATCTGGAGTTTAGTTAATCTGAAAAAAAATCAAATATCTATGACAAAGACAAGGTATTGACAAAGCACAAATTAATTTTTAATATTGAGTATTATGTGCATACCAGTAAATTAACAATGACAGAGGAATACAGAAAAGTGAAAAAGGAAGACTCCTGGTGCTCTTTCTAATTCTGGGTGGGGTTCAGGAAGCAGGGGGAGAGTCAGGTAAACACTTCCAGTCCAGACCTAAGGGCATGCCATGACTCTCTTTCTGAACATCCGAGAAAACTGTCAAGTGTTGGCAGGTTAGATACGAACACGCCAACTCCAGAGTGCAGCTCTGAGAGAAAGAAAGGGAAAAGCAAGCAGGAGGAGAACTCCTGGCCTTTCTATGATATACACACTACTAAAACTAAAGAGAATAAGCAAGGTAAGTGATACAAATCCCAGAAATAAAAGAGAACTCAACAAAGTACACGAGTTATTTTCAGAGAAAATATAATCATAAAATTCACATTTGGTTCGACAGCACCTCTTCTAGTAATTAAATTCAACAATAACCTGACACCTATTATTTATTCATCTGCTTGTTTAAAAAAAAGCATGCAGACACTTAGAAAGGAATAGAGGTAGATTCCCAAAGTGATTTATTCTTAAGAATTAGAATATCAGTGAGGAAGACAGAAAAACCATTCTTAAATTATTATAGAATATGATAACTGCTAAGAAAATAGCATTTAATATTGTAAATTTAGAGCAATTAAACCTTTGATTTTTGCTAATTATAAAAAAATTTTTTTTTAATCTTAAACTCTCACGTAACTGTTTACTTTTGAAAATACGGTTAAACTCAAAATAACAAGATCCAAAAAATCTACAAACATCTCAATAGTCCAAAATAATTACAAAAGCAGACTCATGAAATTATAATTGACAGTTTTACTAAGGCAGATTGTAGGCTTGCAAACTTTACAAGGACTAACTGTAACTTACCTGCCAAAGTTAGCTGGCAAGAACTCAAGAAAAGCATCATTCAGATACAACTGGGTCAGGTTTAACAGCTGAGAAAATCCATCAGGGAGCCTATAAAACATACACCAGAATTAATAGTAGTATCTTCAAACATCATCTTTATATATTTATTCTGAAGTTTAACAAGTACAAAAATCCTCATGAAGCACAACATAACAAACTTTTAATTCATGTACTCCTCTACTGCACACTGCTCATCTTCCATCTACTTAGAATAGTAGAATACTATAACATTGAAAGTTGAACATTCAACTCAGTTACACTTAGCTATATTGGATTTAATTCACCTTTCCTATCACCATTTCATTTCTGCACAATTTAGTGCAAGGAAAATTTTGTTTAAAGAACAAAGTTGGGGAATGATGAAATCAACCACTTGGTTTGTTTTTTCTTTAGGCAATTTGCCTTCTTGCTCTTTCGCTTTATTTTTCTCAAGTCTGAACTTGTCATAACTCTTATTCGAAGGCAAAGACTTTCTTCTATTGTGCAAATAACTCTGGGTAAGGAAACGTGGATTCCAGTCCCATTTTCCAGTCTCATTACCTATCTGTGACAGATGGAGCAAAACCAGGAGTAAATTTTATGCTTGCAATATATGAGGCCAGAAAGATTACTTATAAAGGATCCTTTTATTCACTCAACTGAAATTTTGTATGAACTTAAAACTGATACAAATTTCTCATTAAAATGTTGAGTGACAGTTTCTTGCTGTTTTACAACTGCTATTACAAAAGTAACTTATTTGAGAAGAACTTACTTGGAAATAGGGTTTACACTGGCTTCCACAACTGTCAAAACTTTACAATTTTTTATATTTTCTGGAAACTCTTGTATTCCTAGAAAACGAACAAGGACCAAACTAAGACTATTACAAAGGCCAAAACAATGACAATAATATCAGTTAGCACATACATTATAGATGCCACAGTCAACTGCAACTGAACAGGAATTAAACACCACCACCATTTGTCATTTGTTTATTCCTGAAGCCTATGAGGCCCTTTTTCAGTTCTTTATAAAACAGCTACTACTTAAGTTCCTGTGAACTGTAGTCACTCCATTATTACGTAAGAATCTGCTGCTTCTGTCTATGTTTTGGTACGCATTATCTAGCCTGCCTTTTCTACACTCAGATCAACATTTTACTCAGCTTCTACAAGTCAAGGAACATGTGCTGTTTTACTTTCTGTGCCTGGTTTATTCAACAGAATATCTTTTAGTTCCATCCATTTTTATTCAAATGACAAGTTTCATTCTTCATGGCTGAATAATACCCATACACTATTTTTTCTCTATCAGTTCATCTTTTGGTGGGCATCTACGGTGATTTCATGCACTGGCTACTATAAATGGTGCTGCAATAAAGAGAGTGCAAATATTTTTTTCATATGTCGACTCCATTTCTTTTGCTCTTAGAATTTTTTTAACATAGACACCAGGAATGGGGGAGCTGATGTTACGACAGTATTTATTTCAGTCTGTTGAGAAGCCTTCACACTGTTTCCTGTAATTAGTAACAACTTTTATTACCATCAATAGTGTATAAGAGATTTTTCATCATATCCTTCTCAGTCTTTTAGTTTCATTTGTTTTTAATTGCTTGTTTCAAAGCAGTTATAGAAAGAGATACTCCATCTACTGATCTGCTTCACAAAAGGCGTGAACAGGAAGGGCTGAGCAAAGATGAAGCCAGGAGCTCCATCTGCACCTCTCCCACGTGGGTGGCAGGAGTCAAAGCACCTGGGCCATCTTCTGCTGCCTCCCTAGGCACACTTAGCAGGGAGCTGGACCACCGGCAGAACTGGTGCTACCGCCAGCACTGCAGATGCAGACAGCCTCTACTGTCCTACATACCAGCACCACCATCCTAACTATGGTCACATGGTATCTGGTTCTGGGGTGTGTGTGTGTGCGCGCGCGTGTGTGTATTTCTTTTTAAAGCTTCGAGTATCATTTACATATATATATATAACTGGATTACATTTTTAGACAATATACATATTTTTTTTTAATTCTATTTTACTTATTCAAAGGGAGAGAGACCTTTCGTGTGCTGGCTCACGCCCCAAATGCCTGCAAATGCCAGGGCCAGGTGTGGCCAAGGTGAGGAGCCTGGAATGTTACCATGATCTCCCTTGTGTGGGGCGAGGACCTGACTACCTGAACCATGACCAGCTGCCTCCAAGGTTGTACATCATCTGGACTGCAAGCAGAGCTTGGGGGAAATCAGAAACTCTGCAATGTAAGATGTAGGTGTCTCCAGTGGAGTAGTGGCTTCACTGCCACACCAGATGCCCACACCTAGAGTTCCTTATTCTGGAAACAAATCCTCTGTCATACTAATAACCCAAAAATATTCCTTCCCATTCTGAAGATTGTCTCTTTATTCTGATGTGCAGAAGCTTCTTACTTTGCTACAATACCCACGTTTCTAGTTTTTGTTGTTTATGCTTTTGGGGTCTAACCTTAAAAAATAATTTCCTAAACCAATGTGTTAAAGCATGGCATTATTGCCTTATTTCAGCAGTTTTTAAGTTACAGACTGATGTTTGTATCTTAGTTTTCGTATGGGATGAGCAGCATCCAGCCTGCAAACCATATAAGGCCCATGGCCAAAGTTAACACAGGCAGGATTCAAAATTCAAAAAGCTACAGTACTTTATAGCAGCTTGAGCTTATAAGTTAATATGGCTTGTAAATGACATTATAAACACCCAAATGATCCTTGACAGACAAAAGGTTCCCTAACATGGTGCATGTCAGAGGTATAGGTCGTTTCAATCTTCAGCATATGAATAATCAGTTTTCTCATTTTCATTTACTAAATGGATCATCATTTCTCTGCTATGTGCTTCTGGCATCCTTCTAGAATATAGAATCCCCTAGTTATAAATGACATAGTGTGATATCTGGTGTCTCCAAATGGTGCATATTAGAAAGAAACTAGAGCTGGAAGGAGACCTAGGACTTGAAGTCAGGCATTCTAATTACACTATGTAAAATGCCTATTCCCACTGTTTCTACCTACATATTTTTTAAAGATTTATTTTATTTGAAAGCCAGAGTTACACACACAGGGAAGGAAAGAGAGAGATATTCTATCTGCTGGTTCAAGGGTGCAAAAGTCACAGGTGAGCCAGTGCGAGGTTGCAGACCAGAAGGTTCGTGCAAGTCTCCCACAAGGGTGCAGGGCCCAAACACCAGACTCATTTTCCACTGCTTTCCTAGGCATTAGCTGGGAGGTGGACTGGAAGTGCACCAGGCAGAGCTTGAACGGGAGCCCAGAAGAGATGCCAGCAACCACAGGTGGATAATTAACCTGACAGTGTCAGGCCCCTTGTCTATTTAAGATATATCTGACAATGTCAGACACACACACTCACACATTTCTTCCATCCACTGGTTTACTCCCAAAATGACAACAATAGCTGAAGTTGGATCAGGCTGAACCTGGAAACCAGGAGCCCCACACAACTTTCCCACACAGGGAGCAGGGACCAGGCACCTGGGCCTTTCTCCACCTCTTTCAGAAGCATACTTCAAAGACCAGCAGTAGTGTAGCCAGGACTGGAACCAGTGCTTTGTATAGGATGCTGGCAGCTTAACATGCATTGTCACAATACTAATCTCGTAATTTTACAAAGAAACTGTGGTGTATCTATGCCATGAGTAAACAAATAGCTAAAAGAATTCAAAACAACATATTAAAGCGATACCTCTATCTCCCATGTTGACTGCAGTATTTTTCACACAGTCAAGATAATAGAATCAACTCAAGTCACAACTGATAAAGAAAATTGGGTTCTGGGTGTGATATAGTTAATACGTTGCTTGGAATGCTGCCATCCCGTATCAGAGTGGGTTGGTTCCAGTCCTGGCTCCTCCTCCATTTCCAGCACTATGTGTATGCACACTCTGGCGGACAGCAGCTACTAAGTCACTGAGAGTCACACAGAGACCCAGATTCAGTGCCAGGCTCCTGCTGCAGCCAGGCTCAGTCCCAGCTACAGTGGACATCTCAGGAAATGTGAGATGTCACTCATAAAAATAAGTATTTTTTTAAAGGAGGAAGAAAAGAACGTGTAGTATATAACACAATAGTATATTATTCAGCCTTTACAAAACAAAAAATTCCTGTCATTGTGACAAAATGGGTGAACCTAGAAGACATTTTAAGTGAAATTAACCCAGAACAGAAAGACAAATGTTCTATTATGTCATTTTCATATGGAATTTCATAGACAAACTCAAAGAAGCAGAGAGTGGAATGGCGGCTAGCCCTGGCGTAGCAGGGGAGGGGTTGGAAGATCTGCACATGTTGGGCAAAGGGCACACAACTTCAGCTAGGAGTCACGAGATCCACTGTGCAACACGCTGACTAGTTAACAACAGAAGAAAACAAAAGGTACTTACACAATATCTATCTGCTTCAAATTATTACAGATTTTATATTTGTGTAAAACATTCTAAGCCAAGATTTTTATTTTATATAAGCGATTAGAAACTTTAAAATGACTAAAATATCTTTACATTTATATAAAATGGATTTGTTTCCAGAAAAGCTAACTGAAGAAGTTACTACGTAACTTTTTAAATACATGTTCCTTTATGGTAACAAAAGAAATCGTAATAATGAATCATGTTTAGGAGGGAAAAAAAAAAAAACCTTACCATTTTTGCTGACATCCAGTTCCCTGAGATTAATAAGATTCGCAATGGATGCTGGTAATGTGGTTAAATCATTGTCCGGTAAACTCAGCTTGTGTAGAGACTGACAGTTAAAAAGTTGCTAATGAAAAAAAGGGAAGAAGTGATCTTCAGTATCTGTTCAGTTACCTTAAATATTTCATATATTACCTCTTACACAAATAAATACCATTAATCACGTTCAAACTGAATGAATAAGAACTACATAAATACCAGAAAAGATTATTTTGGTAATGGTGTTCATGGATCTAGAAACAGTTCAAACACGCATACTGATCTGCAGTCTTCATACTTAGTACAACTGGCTAAGGAACACAAATCCCTTGCTAACAACGCATTAAAAACCCTTTGTATACTAACACCTAGCCTGTACAGACATATATACAAACTAAAATCAGTACTTCAAGAAAAAATGGCCATACGCCAACAAGCATGTTTCTATCTGCGTCATTATAGATGTAGGATTCCCAATAAAATTGGAATTTCAAGTAAACAGGAACTTTATATGTATTTTTTTTCAGTATTGGAATCTGCTTTACGTTGAAACAGACATACACTAAAAAAATTCTTTATTCGTTTGAAAAGCCGAATAAGCTGGTAATCTGTTTTTATTACCTAAAAATTAATTACACACAAAAATTTGATGATGAGTATTTCACGGCAACGAGCCACTGTGCTCCTCGCAGTGACTGGATTTCAGACACAGAAGCTCTCAGGAACCAGTCCAGAAAGAGCTTGTTAAGTGCAGCAAGACACAACCTACCACCAAATACTGCTTAACAGAATTATGATGTGGTGATTTAAAAAAAATTCATCTTCAATTATAACAATAAACACCAATGATCAATTCTTATGAAAACCGGAAGAAGCAAGTCATAACTCCAGTTATCTGCCTGGTTAAATCCACTGCTACACAGCCTGTACAGTCTCATTACCTTAATGGCTGTAACATAAATGGAATTACAGAAACAATGCTGATTTAATCTCTATAGCTATCTAGTCAATTAAAACTTGGAAAGGCAGTTTAAAATTTAGTTTTTGAAAATGTGAACTGTTACACACGTTAAGATAAGATTACACCATAAAATGAAAGAAAGCAACACGTGAACACATATGGGCAGAATTATGATAACGTTAGGAAGATCGTACATGAAACAGAAAAGCAGGACTCTGGGAAGACAGCACTGACATACCTTTGGAAGCTCTTCAATTTGATTAGCATCTAAATATAGCTCTTCCAAAGTTTTTTCAAAGGTAAAAATCTCTTTGGGAACTTGTTCCAAACTGCAGTGGGAATAATCCAGGCTCGTGACAGTCTCCTCCTCCCCTCGAAGACAGCGACACGGTACCAACCGCACAAACAAACTTCGCTTTGTAGTCATTTTTAAACACTGCAACATTCACATTAAAAAGCTCTAGTTAAAATAGACATAACAAAGTTTCAGAAATCACTCCACGTACGGTAGATCACAGATGGAACTCATCTAAGATTGCTGTAACATTCATATCTCTTTTTTTTAAAGATTTATTTATTTTTATTGAAAAGTCAGATCTACAAAAAGAGAGACAGAGTAAAAAATTTTTCACCATTTGATTCACTCCCCAAATGGCTGAAATGACCAAAGCTGAGCTGATCCTAAGCTAAGAGCCAGAGACTTCCTCATGGCTTCCGATTTGGCTGCAGGGTCCCTCAAGGCTTTGGGCCATTCTCTACTGCTTTCCCAGGCCACAAGTATGGAGCTGGATGGGAAATGGAGCAGCCAGGACATGAACCAGTGCCAGTTTGGGATTCCAGTACATGCAAGGCAAGGATTAGTCACTGAGCCATCATGCTGGCCAACACACTTTTCTGTTGGATTTCAAAATACATTCAAGCACTTTGACATTGTGCAGTCAATCTGTGAAATAAGTATCTATGTTTCTACAGAAAACGAGAAAGGTCTGCTTCTTAAGTTATTTTTTTGTTTTTAAAATTTGCTTTCTTGTTTGTAATCTTTCTCTTTGTTTTAATTTTCTCCCTTTTGGTTTTTAAGACTTATTTATTTACATGAGAGTTACAGAGAGAGAAACACAGAAATAGATCTGACTGCTAGTTCACTCTCCAAAAGTCCACACCATTTAGAGCTGGTACACTCTGAAGCCGAGAGTCTAGGCTTCTTCCGGGTCCTGCCATGTGGATGAAGGGACCCAAGTCTCTGGAACATCATCTGCTGCTTTCCCAGGCACATCAACAGGGAGCTGGATCCAAGTAGATCAGCAGGGCCAGAATCAGTGCCTTTATGGGATGCTGGGACCACGGGTGACAGCTTTACCCACAAAGCCACAGCAACAGTCCCTGCTTCCTGGCTCTTCACAGAAAAACTCCAACATAATAAACATTTTTCTTTAAGTGCTGCATCTAAAAGTTCCATCAGTTAATTAAATTTGTAACTATGTGCAATTCTGAGTAGGAACCAAAAATACAAAGATACGTTAAGGTCTTCCTTATCATCCATCAGTAGATCAACACCCTTTAACTTTCCTATGATTTTCCCACGTGAAAATTTCCGTGTATTTCAAGTATATTTTCAGTAGTTAAACAGTGGCTTTATAGTTTTTGATAAAGAGCTTATAAGCCTTAAACATATTCAGATTACACTCAGGAGCACAAATTTATTTAAATAAAACATGGATTTCAATTTACCTAAGAAAAAAACAAGTCTAAATTAGTAAAAATTCTCAAGGCTAGTTTTATTAAATACAACATGAAAGCATTTACTTGCAACAAGGCTGAGATTACATTAGCAATGAAACCTATACAATAAGAATTTCTGATATTATCAATACTTTGCTATTATCAAATCTTTTCTTTAAAAACAAACAAACAAAGATTTATTAGACCTGGCGTGAGGGCTTACTGGCTAAATCTTCACCTAGCATCCATTGGGACCCCATATGGGTACCAGGTTGTATCCCGGCTGCTCCATTTTCCAACAAGCTCCCTGCTTATGAACTGGAAAAGCAGAAGATGGCTCAAAGCTTTGGGACCCTATACCTGCATGGGAGACCTGGAGCAAATTCCAGGCTCCTGGCTTCAGATCAGCTCAGCTTTGCCATTGTGGTCACTTGGGAGAGAACTAGAGGACTCCTTCTCTCTGCATATCTTCCCTTCCAATTTAAAAAAAAAATTCTTTAAAAGATTTACTGCACAAGGCGTGATGGCTTAATGGCTAAATCCTTGCCTTGTACATGCTGGGGTCCCATATGGGTGCCAGTTCTTGTCCCAGCTGCTCTATTTCCCATCCAGCTCCCTGCTTGTGGCCTCGGAAAGCAGTAGAGGACGGCCCAAAGCCTGGAATAGAAGGCACAGAGGAAGAAGTTCCTGTCTTCTGGCTCTGGCTGTTGGCAGCCACTTGAGGAGTGAAGCAGAAGACAGAGGAACTTCCTCTCTGTCTTTCCTTAACTGTATAGATCTGTCTTTCCAATAAAAATTAAAATAAATCGTGGGCCTGGTGCAGTAACCTAGCAGCTAAAGTTCTTGCCTTATATCCGCCTGAAATCCCATATGAGTGCCAGTTCATAATTTGGCTGCTCCACTTCCCTTCCTGCGCCTTGCTTGTGGCCTGGAAAGAGTCAAGGATGGCCTAAAGCGTGGGACACCCAAAAGAAGCTCCTGACTCCTGGTTTTGGATCAGTTCTGGCCGTTGTGGCCCCTGGGGCCTCAAATAGCGTGGCATCTTAACTCACTGCACCACAATGCTGACCCCAAATAATGAATGTTTCCCTAGGCAGATTACATACTAAACAACAGACTGACTCTAACCAGAACTAAAACCAAGTAACACCAGTGAGGCATTGGGCATCAATTATAATAAGGTATCCAAAAATTACACAAAATAAATAATTTAGCATAACATTTTTAAAAAATAAAATTTACTGGCACTGGCACCATGGCTAAGCTCCTGCCTGTGGTGCCTGCATCCCATATCAGCGCAAGTTTGAGTCCCAGCTGTTCCACTTTTTTTTAAAGATTTATTTTTATTGCAAAGGCAGAACACATTTGCAGAGCAAAGGAGACAGAAAGATCTTTCACCCACTTTCACTCCCCAAATGTCCACAACAGTGGGCACTGAACACATTCAAAGCCAGGAGCTTCTTCCTCCATGCCTCCCAAGCAGGTGCAGGGTCCCAAGGCTTTGGGCCGTTCTCTACTTCATTCCCTGTCCATAAGCAGGGAGCTGCATCAGAATTGGAGCAGCCAGCACAGGAACTGGTACCCATAGGGGATCCTGGCATTTGAAGGGGATTTAGCCAACTGAGCCATTGCACCGGGCCCACTGCTCTTCCATACTGCTTCTTCCTGTATAGTAATTAATATACTGGAATTCAGATCCTCCAAATGAGTTAAGATCAACAGGTATTTGCTCTGTACTTCTCCAGCTTTTACAAGAAACTATGATGTAAACATCACACGTCTTTTTCTAAAAATCTGTCAACAGACAAATATCCAGAAAAATTACTATACATTTTACTAAGTCATTTATATTTATACAAAGGCAAGTTTTAAATAAGAAAACAGTTCATCTAATAAACAAGAATTTAGTTGCTACAGAGAATTCAGTTTATACTTGTAAGCTTTAAGAGATGATTTTTTTAAGAAGTCCAAGTCAATGAATGTAACAACTCTTATTCTAGACATTTTAAGAATTCAACTGAGTTTAGGAGGATACTTAAGAACAATGGGAAGAGGGCCCGGCACAATAGTGTAGTGATTTAAGTCCTCGCACGTGCACCAGGATCTCATATGGGCACCGGTTCTAATCCCGGCAGCCCTGCTTCCCATCCAGTTCCCTGCTTGTGGCCTGGGAAAGCAGTTGACCCAAAGCCTTGGGACCCTGCACATGCGTAGGAGACCTGGAAGAGCTCCTGGCTCCTGGCATCGGATTGGCTCAGCTCCAGCTGTTGCAGTCACATGGGGAGTAAATCATTGGACGGAAGATCTTCCTCTCTGTCTCTCCTCTCTGTATATCTGCCTTTCCAATAAAAATAAGTAAATCTTAAAAAAAAAAAAAAACAATGGGAAGAATTCTATCTGCTCTGTCCAATATGAAAATCAATAGATACATGTGGCAAATTCAAGCTTAATATTAAAGTTTAATCAAATTTAAATCAAATCACAGTCTAGCACCATGGCATAGTCAGTTAAGCCTCTGCCTGTGGTTCTGGTTCATGTCCCTGATGCTCCACTTCCCATCAGCTTTCCGCTTATGGCCTGAGAAAGCAGTGGATGATGAGAGCAGATCATGTTCTGGAAAAGCAGTGAAGATGGCCCAAGTGTTGGAGCCCCTGCACCCACATGGCAGACCTGAAGAAGCTCCTGACTCTCGGCTTTAAACGAGCCCGTCTGCGTCTGTTGTGTTGCAGCTTATGGAAGATCTCTTTCTCATTTCTACTTCTCCCTCTGTAACTCTGACTTTCAAACAAAAATAAACATTTTTTTTCATCCAGGTGTGAGACCTAGAAAAAGCTGCCGGCTTCAGGCCTAGCCCAGCCCTAGCCATTTGGAAAGTAAACTACCAGATGGAAGATCTCTTATTATGCCTTTCAAATCAACAAAAAAATCCTTTAAAAAAAATTCAAAAGTAGCACAGTAGTATTAGAATCTTCTAATCACACTGGAAGGAGAAAAAAAGAATCCAGAAAAAGGGCACCAAAATAAGCTGAAAATTTTGTAACCAAAGGAATCAAAGCTACTTACCACTGGATTGGCTTGCTCTCCCTAGTGTTTCTTAATTGAGCCAACATTCTGTGGAAAGCAAAATGAGAGCCAAAATTAACAATAAAAATCGCTCTGCATGACTGCAAGAGATCACCTCTACAAATTCTGAATTACATCAAAAGATAAAATTCGGAAAATCTGATCACTGTAAGCTGGAAACAGTAAACAACAAACACCAACAAAAATAAACATGTATCTGGGTGCATTTGGTGCCCAGTTAGGACGCCACTTAAGGTTCCTGCATCTCCCATCAGAGGCTAGGTTCAAGTCCTGGCTCCACTTGCAATCCAGCTTTCTTCTAATGGGCGCTCTCGGAGGCAGCCCGGGTTCCTGCAACCACAGTGGGTGACACAGGAGGGATCCCAGACTCCCAGACTCCTGGCTCAGGTCTGGATCAGACCCAGCTGCTGCAGACATTTTGGGAGTAAATCAGTGGACAGAAGATCTTTCCTCCCTCTTTCTCTCCATTGTTTTATCTTGCATTTATCAGTACATTTAAAAACAACACACAAACACCAACCAACCAGAGGCCCTATTACAGTATAACCCATAAAGGTGCTACCTGACACTGGCATCCCACATGGCAAGTCTCTGCTGCTCTACTTTTGCTCCATGTGCCTGGGAAACAGCCAAGTAAGGCCCAGGCTCTAGGGACCAGCACCCACATGGGAGACCGCCACCTGAGGCTCCAGTACATGGAAGACTCACTCCGCTCTCGCCAGCTGTCTCTCCCTCTCTTCATGTAAACCTTGTCAAATAAATCAAACATTCACACAAATGTGCTAACTCAAATGGTTAACTTCTTAACAAGCAGATTTTCTTCAAACATTTGTAATCTACTAACAGCCATCATCTACATACTTAGAATAAGATTTTTTTCACATAATAGGGATTATAATTTACTGAGAATAAAATTTTTCAAACAAAGTAAAATCTAGTCACCAATTACTAAGTCTCAGGATTTTAAAAAAAATGTATTTTCAAACAGTTATAGACAGAGAGAGACACACACAGAGAAATCTTCCACCTGCTGACTTTCTCCTCAGATGTCCGCACGAGCCAGCACTGAGCCAGGCCCAAGTGAGGAGCGTCTTTCTAGGTCCTCCAAACGGGCAACAGAGCCCCAAACACTTGGACATTTTAGGGTGCTTGCGCCAGGTCATCAGCAGAGAGCTGGATACAAAGTCTAACAGCTGGGACTCAAGTCAGCACCTCACTGCATGCCAGTGCTGCACTTTTACATTAAGCCAAGGAAAGGCTGCCCCTAAACTTTAGTGTTTGACCGTTCTATATGGTAGGCACTATTAACTGCTTAGCGGGTTTATTTTCCATGAAGAGCCTTGACCACTCAAAAGCAGTAATGGCTTCAGCTAATTTCTCAACTTTGAGCTTTTCAGGCCAGAAAGAGTAGACAAGGTAACACAATTAAGATCAAAGACCTGTACAAACCTTACAAGTTTGTCTTGAGATGCATTGGGGGCTGATTCTGGGAAAGCATTTTTTTCGCTGATCAATGGGAATGAAGGTGTCTGACACTCCTTGCCTCCCATTTTTTTTACTTCAATCTGTATCGCAGTTCCTGTGCTGCAACAACCCTCCTCCATAAACCAACAAATACGAGGATTAAAAGCCTGCAAAATCTTGAGGCTGATATAATGAGCTGGGGAGCAATAACAGCAGTGCCCAGCAGTTGAAACAAGGTTAACCACACCTACTTCAGGATTTCTTTGCATGTGAGAAAAGTAAATCCCTTATTTGCTTAAACCATTTCCAGGCTTTCTAAACTTGCAGTTAATACATGCCACAACAAAACAAACTAAAACCCAAAACAGTGATCTTAATAAAAAGTATATAGATATTTTTCTTAAAAAATAAATCAGGCTGACAGCCATAAATGTTTCAAAATGATATAATCACTCTAAATATAGTTATCTGTCTATGATAAATAACTCAGGATTACAGAGTTATTTAAGACTTCACTGTAAATTCTACACATTATACACCACATACACAAAAATTACTGGACTACAGAAACTAGGTATTATACAACGTGTTTCCACCAACAATGAAATAGTCTGATAGACAGTAAGCTTCGGAAGAAAATGAGAAATTTGCATTTAAAACCTTGATCTGAAATTTCACAAAGATGCTGAGCAGGGTCCTGAGTAAGTAGCTGCATATGCACAGAGCAACAGGCAGAGATGCTGCGAAAGAGGACTCAGCACTGTTACTGGTCATGATGTAGAAACCACTGATTATATTGCCAAAAACAAGAACACAGATAATGCAATGGTTTGGATGTGGTCTGTTCCCTACGGGTTTATGTATCGGAAGCTTTGTTTCCAGCATGGTGATGTTAAAAGGTGGGGTCTGGTATGTGTGCCGGGATCCTTAGATCACTGGGGACATACCCTTGGAAGGGATTAAGATAGGTCTGAAATGAACACATTGTTGAGAAACCCTAAACTTAACTGGCAATGCAACCTTCTCTCACTTATATTCTCAGCATGATGCCATCCACTCTTAGGCCTCAACAGAGAACAAATCCATGCGGCCACCATATCTAGACTTTCAGCCGCCAGGACTATAAGCTAAATTCATCTCTTAGTAAGATGTTAGCCTCTCTGTACTGGGTGTGTTGTACCACCTCATTGTTTTTGGGGGGTTTTTTTTTTTAAAGATTTATATATTTATTTCTATTGAAAGGCAGATATACAGAAAGGAGGAGAAACAGAGAGGAAGATCTTTCGTCCAATGATTCACTCCCCAAGTGACTGCAACACCCAGAGCTGAGCCAATCCGAAGCCAGAAGCCAGGAGCTCTTCCGGGTCTCCCACACAGGTGTAGGGTCCCAAGGCTTGGGCTGTCCTCAACTGCTTTCCCAGGCCACAAGCAGGGAACTGGATGGGAAGCGGAGCAGCCGGGATTAGAACCAGGATATGGGATCCCGGGTGTGCAAGGCAAGGACTTAAATCACTACACTATTGCGCCGGGCCCTATTCCACCTCACTGTTTCTCTTTTGCATTTCCTAGATTACAGATAGTGTTGAGGAGCCTTATCAGTACCTGGACTTCCTTTAGATGATGATGCGGTTAGTGGTCACGTGCTTCATCCTAAAGGTGCAGGACTGCAGGAGAGAGGTCACAGTCTGGACAGGGCTCGTGCAGTGGGCAAAGCTGCACCTGCACCAGCAGCATTCATGTCCAGGCAACTCCACTTCCCATCCAACTCCCTGAATAAGAACTGAGAAAGCAGTAGAGCATGGCTCAAATTCTTGGGCTTCTGCAGCCACAGAAGAGACCCGAGGAAGCTCCTGGCACCTGCTTTCAGGTCAGTTCAGCTCTGGCCATTGTAGCCACTTGGGCAGTGGACCAGTGGGCAAAGATCTTTCTGTCTTTCTCTCTGGCTGTAGATCTGCCTTTCCAACAAAATCAGTAAGTAAATATATTGAGCTTTAATTACTGTCCTGAAATATCTAAGCCTTCACATATCATCCTGTCAATTGCAAAAATGTCAATTGCCAGTGGATGTAAGTTCTTTGTCTCTCCTTCTCTCTGTAATTCTGACTTTCCAATAAAAAAAAACAAAAGACTGGAAGTTACAGGGATGGGCACTGTGATGCAGCAAATTAAGCCACAGTGTGGGTGCCCAGACACCATAGGGAAGTGCCAGTTCGCATCTTGGCTGGACTACTTCCCATTCAGCTTCCTGCCAATGTGCCTGAGATGGCTGTGGGTGATGGCCCAGGTCCTCAATCCTGGTACAAACACTTCAGAAGACTGGGACTGAGTTTCTGCTTCCTAGCTTCATTGTGTTCCAGCCTGGCTTTTCTATGTTGAGAGTGAACCACTGATGGTAGGCGTCTCTCCTTCCCCCATCATCCATCTTCTCTCTGCCTTACAAAATGAAACCTTTTTTTCTTAATGGCTGCAAATCACACCAATGATTTTCCATGAATTTAAGGGCATCTTACAAAATTTCTCAAAATCTCAAGGACCAACATGATAATACTGCAACTTCTCTTAGGAAAACTCATGCTTTTCTGCATAAAAGGGCATGAACAATGGATGAGAAACATTCTAAAATTTACAAGAATGGATTTTAGGGGATATTGCTCAACCATTTTTATTCATATTTTTAAAATATTTTTATTTTATTGAAAAGGCAAATTTACAAAGAGAAAGATCTTCCATCCATTGGTTCACTCCTCAAACGGCCGCAACATCCAGAGCTGAGCTGAGCCAATCCATGCTGGGAGGCTAAGAGCTCCTTTTTTTCAGTCTCCCATATGGGTGTAGGGTCCCAAGATTCTGGACCATCAACTGCTTCCCCAGGCCACAAACAGGGAGCTGCATGGGTGTGGAGCATCCAGGACTCAAACCGGCGTCCACATGGAATCCTGGCGTGTGTAAGGCAAGGATTTAGCAACTGGGACATTGCATCAGGCCCCAGTAAGAATGTTTCTAATGAGAACATAACAGATATCTTAAGACTAGTCAACCAATTCACAATGATCCGTTATTGCACTCTGACATAATGTACCACAATTCCATACAACAAATGTGTAGAGATGTGAGAATGATCCCATCAGACCAAAGCCCATGCTGCATCCCTGTACCCACAACTTACAGCTGCTACTACCATTGCCAAGAGAAAGACTAAAGGGGATGCTAACAAAGAGAAAGATAAAGCACAAAGACCCCCAAGGCTTTCTGCTACAGCAGCTCCTCAAGAGCCAAAACCCAAGCCAGAAAGGACCCTACAAAACAGAAGAGCAGGCACCCTCAAAAAAAGCTGGTGCTGACCAACTTGGGGACAGCCTTGCAGAAACTGGAGATGCCAAGTGAAGTGTATGCACACTGTTGATAATGAAATACTTGTGGTGACAGTATAGTTTTCTAAAAATGCAGGACATTCTTCTACTTTTCTAAAACTACGCTGTTCTCATAAAGAATGCTTCATTGTTGTTCTAGAGGAAGGGGAAAACACCTTTCCTTTCTGGTTTTGAGAAACTTCCTCTTAGCTC